ATCTTTAATAAAACGCGAAATTATAGTTTCTTACAGTGATGAATTTAAAAATAAGGATAGTCTATAAATATGGCATAACTGTGATTGGAAATAAAGTCTATTGTATTTGTAGTTTACGATATTTTTTTAATTTACGCAATTAACATTTCATAAATTCAGCATTTTTTGCTTTATCTTTTAAAGGTAGCCCCCTACCCAGCCTTTAAAAAGGATGACCTGTAAATATTTGAAATCTGAAGCATTTACTTCTTTTTATTCTTGCGAAATAAAGTAAAAACTTAGGCCTATATAGTCCGAGCAAACGCTAAAAAAAGTAAAAACTTTCAGTTTTCAGCAAATGCTTTCCAGTAAAAGCGTTTGCTTCATTTTTATTCATACGGATGCGAGTAAAATGCTTGAAAACTTGTGGTTAAAGTAAATGCTATAGTTTTTATTCTTGCGACCCAGTATTCGCGGTCACTTGTTCCTTTTTCAATACTGACTCGAATTTTGAACTTGTTTTCAGATTATTATCGACATTTGAGAAGAAAAGTAAAGGTTCATTTATACACGTATCCCGTCGAATGAAATCTTGCCAAATATTTTGAAAGTTTAGGCTGCATGAACAGTACCCCCCCCCCCCCGGGTGTTACTTTCCGTATTATTTTGCAGCCGCCCAACCCGCCCACGCTCTGTTGTCTTCTTCCGGGAAGTCAACGTTTCACCAATAAAAGATCGATTTTCATTAATCTACCGTCACTTAACCTTGACTTTTTTCATTTTGCATAATAACCTACTATTTAGTAGTATCATAATTTGAGACTGTTGCCGCCAACGAATAATGGACCGGGAATATTAAAAAATAACCATGCATTTCTGGCGTATCGTGTGCATATCTTTAATACAATGAGACAAAAGAATTGCTGAATAAATTCTAAGGACCGTTTCGCCGAAATGTGAGAGTCGCAGACCTTTTTGCATTGACTGATTTTTTTTCATATTCTCAGTTGGCATTCGATTGTGGTAACCCCTACCATCCATCCCCGCACTTTCCTATTTTACGTATTTGAGTGAATTGTTCGCTTTTATCCTCGATGGCCTTGGCGGTTTGGGTCTAGGCCCCTACACGTCTTGACATTTATATAGGAACTAATCTAAATTATAACAAAAATATGATTCTAAAAAATGAAATGTTGAACTTGCTCAAGATTGGCTGGTTCACTTTTGACAGTGTGTTAAGTCGTTAAAATCTCCAATATAACCCTGGCGATTGACAAGAACCAATGTCATTTTAGTAACTTTCAAGACTTAAAACTGCAGACTTCACCTAGCGTTTTGAAGAAACTACTTTTTTTGAAAATGCATAGAAGTGTTTAGATGGAAAGTTCGAAGTGGATGGGTAAATTTACGCAGTGGCTCAGCCACTGTTGGAAAAGTATAGAAACTGCCAGAGAAAAAAAAGAGGAAACTGCCACAAAGCGGCGTAGAATGCAGCCGTGAATATTTCGAGAAATAGTACAACTGAACTAGTTTCACGCTCAACACTGCGCCAAACGCAAGTCTATAGCTTATAATATGTAAAAGTAAGCTATTGTTTCAACCGCCAGTACATTATACCGTATCGTGTAACTCATCCAATGCCCAAATGCGTTCCTCATAACTCAATCATTTTCTTTGGATAATGTGATTTTGATTGGATTTATTTCCATACATCATAATTATAATAATGAGCAGTTGAAATTAATGGATTATGCAACAATCTTGGCGGTGGAGGATGGCAGAGAGCCGAGGCCTGTTTTGCCAACCCCCCGTTAGTAAACAATTAAATTTAAATTTAACACAGAGAAAAATTACTTAACTTAAACATTACTTAGTATAGGACTTAAAGTACGAATGATTACAGAAATGATAGTAATAATATTACTAAGCATTAAACAATTAAGATTGTGTTACTAAGTGTTACTGATATTATTCGTCCAGCTCAGATGAATCAATGAGCGAAGTATTTTGAACATTTTTTACACATATCCTAATCATAATCGTGATTTAATTACATTATTATTCGAGAGGTTTTTCTTGATTTCATGATTTATTTACTGGCTATTGAGGGGCTTGTACATTGTGCATATACGGATAATTATTGTACAGCGCTTCGCGATGTCTTTGTTACATGGAAAGCATTTTTTAAATATGATAGCGAAATTTGTTACTACATGTATATAGGTTGTGGATGAATATAAATAACCTGTTGAGCCTGAATAAAGCAGGATCTTTGGCTTTGGAGGCGGTAAGAATTGCCTTTACTCGTGCTTTCCCATGTACAATAGTATATGCCTGCAGTGTAGCATGTAGCTCCCGTGCACTTTTGACCCCTTCTTGCACGATCGCCCATGTGCAAAGATTAGTTTCTTGAACAATAGCGGCCGCCCCTTGATCTTGAATTTCCTGGAACCGGCGCAGGGGTGTGCGCACATCTTTCACTTAGAAAACAAAAGAATCAAATTTGTATTGAATAATAGTTTGGTATCTTGACTTCACCAGTTTTAGGCCAAAAAAAAAGGCTCCGGTTTCTGGTATGGAGCTTGCCCAAAAAGTCAGGTGCGGCGACGCGGCTTTTTTTTTTTTTTTACCTGATTTTTTTGCTTCAAATGTCGGCTGATGACTGCTAATGGTGCCCGACTAAACTTAGTGCAAATAATATGGGAGTCCAGAGAGGCCACATAAAGCTTATTCTCGACCATAACCCAATCTAAAAACACGTTAAAATTGTGCAGCAGCAGGATTCCAGTCAGACAAGTGAGTTTGGCGGTTTTCAGACATCATCTTTCATCGAAAAAAAATTCATTTTGCCGACGCGCATGGCTACGACGACGCGCGCGCATACCAGAAACCGGAGCCTTTTTTTTTGTTTGGCCTTGGTACTGAGCTGTGATGTGAACTGCCTATTCTCTCTAGCAGCCTAACCCGTGAGCGACATCATTAGTTTTCCCGTGAAAAAAAAAAAATACTCTTGCAAAAAGATCTGAACTTTAGGACGGAGGTCTACATTTTCCAGCCTCTGATCCACAGAAAACTTAGGATATTAGTTGGAGGAGAGAGTGGGTCTCGGTCTTTAAAAGTTACCGATGAAAATCAATGTTCTGTATAGTTTGACTTATTTTGCGCCGTTAGGCTAGGAATAAAATAATGCGAGTACATGTAGACAGTAGAGGGCGCCCTGTATAAACTAAAGGAACGTTTGTGGTAGCAGACCAGTAAATAAACTTCCATAGACCCCAATGGTAAATGCTCCCACTTCAAAAATTCGGGAAAATACTCACAACTCTCCAAGGTGTTCGAGACGCACATCAAATTAAAGCTTATTTCATCATCTTTCATTTTCTTTTCAATTTTCGGGGGGTCAACTGATGACTTTTAGGAGAAATTTCCATCTGAAGATGATCACCCCTGAAAATAGTCCTGAAGCCCATCGCCATTTTGAAAAACGATGCCTACACTCCATTGCAAAATAGAGCGCTTTTAGGGTCCAAATTACTTCAAAATTACACAGAACTGCAAGCTCCTAGTCCTGTGCACGGCTTCCACCCATATTTTTTACAAACCCTCAAGTTCATGGCCCACAGCATGCCCAAATACCGAAGATTTTGAGGGCATGCAAATCGTGATTTGGCCGGCACAGGCAATTTCGGACCGATTTACTGGTCTGCACCCTATAGAGAAGCGAGGTTCTGAAAAATTTCCCCAAACCACTTGTACGGCACGAGGAAGGATGGATGACTCATATTTCATCAAAAAATTGCTAGAAAAAAAATCTCTGAATGCGATTTCTGGCCTGAAAACAAGCCCTCTGTTTGCGGCTACCTTACTGTAGGGCGCCCCCAACGGGCGTTAATTGAGTTTTTGCTCCTTCCGACCCCAAATCCCCCCCCCCCCCCCCCCCCCCCCTGTTCGCTCGAAATTGCTGTGATCGGACGACGGTCCATCGGCCATATTCAGATTTGGGGCGCATTTTTTGCGGAACCGCCATTGATGACCCCTTTTGAAACGCTTCCCCCCCCCCCCAGGTTCCGCCCCCCTGAAAAAAAACACTCCGCAAACATTTGTCAACAAACGATGGAAGGCGCCATTTTGAAACTATAGAGAAGCGAGGTTCTGAAAAATTTCCCCAAACCACTTGTACGGCACGAGGAAGGATGGATGACTCATATTTCATCAAAAAATTGCTAGAAAAAAAATCTCTGAATGCGATTTCTGGCCTGAAAACAAGCCCTCTGTTTGCGGCTACCTTACTGTAGGGCGCCCCCAACGGGCGTTAATTGAGTTTTTGCTCCTTCCGACCCCAAATTCCCCCCCCCCCCCCCCCCTTGTTCGCTCGAAATTGCTGTGATCGGATGACGGTCCATCGGCCCTATTCAGATTTGGGGCGCATTTTTTGCGGAACCGCCATTGATGACCCCTTTTGAAACGCTTCCCCCCCCCCCCCAGGTTCCGCCCCCCTGAAAAAAAAACACTCCGCAAACATTTGTCAACAAACGATGGAAGGCGCCATTTTGAAACTATAGGTAGCAGACCAGTAAATAAACTTCCATAGACCCCAATGGTAAATGCTCCCACTTCAAAAATTCGGGAAAAATACTCAAAACTCTCCAAGGTGTTCGAGACGCACATCAAATTAAAGCTTATTTCATCATCTTTCATTTTCTTTTCAATTTTCGGGGGGTCAACTGATGACTTTTAGGAGAAATTTCCATCTGAAGATGATCACCCCTGAAAATAGTCCTGAAGCCCATCGCCATTTTGAAAAACGATGCCTACACTCCATTGCAAAATAGAGCGCTTTTAGGGTCCAAATTACTTCAAAATTACACAGAACTGCAAGCTCCTATTCTTTTATGTTAATCTTTACCAATTGTTATTCACTTCCTCCTTATTAGAAAGGAAGCTTATCAGTTTCTGAATTAAATAAAGTTAAAGACACAGATTTTAACTGGATTGAATCATTTCTTCATCCTTCAACATTTAAACATACTTGGTGTATTTTAAGTCACTAGGTGTAGACTTTGCTTTTTGCAATGAATATAGACATTTTGTGCAACATCATGATAGTCAATGGGAGTTTTCACCCCTGCCTGCTTTCCTCAATAATCATTATTATAATACAAGGTTAGGCATGCACAGAAAAATAAGTGATGTGTTTTGGGCTGATCACACTACTACCCAGTGCCAACTTGAGTTTTCTTTATTACACAACAATAAGCTATGAAAAGGTCAGTGTTTACTTCACATTTAACCAATATATAATAAGCTTGGCCACATGTTTGCTTCAACAAATTTTACTACTGCAGGAGTAACAATTGCCACAGCAAAAATCTACCCTCATTCATCATCGGTGCAGAAAGTGGGTGTTTGCACTACAACCCGGATCAAATGAAGCTGATGTTGAAACAGTAGAGAGAGGACATTCATCACTTTAACAACATAAGAAATACAACACACAAGAATTAAAACTGCTCCAATCAATGACAGTTTTTCCTTTCAAATAAATATTTGGATTTCAGCCGTGTTGTGACGAAGTTTTCTTCCTTATAAATAAATAAAATATACACTGTTTATTATTTAATAAAATGAAAAATAATTAAGCTGCTGCAAACTGCTCATTGTCTGGATTGACCTGAAATATCTATGTACACTGTACAAATCAAAAAGTTAGAGAGGCCTGATATATTTCGTCTTTAGCAAAGACTTCTTCAGAGGCAATTTTTTTTATATAGCACTGTATCCGGTCTTTGTTTCTGAGCGAATCAAGGATTGGCTAAGAATATAGAATTGGAAGCATTTTGCTGCAAGCAGTTACTGTAGTCTTATTTCATATACTTAATTTAAGGGTTAAGCATACATATAAATTATATTCATGTACATCATGCCAAGCCAATTTTATTTCAATGGTCAGAACTGTCCTTCATTTTTCTGCCAATGTGCGCCTGAATTCAAGCATACTCAAGATGTCCTTTGACTGGATGAGGTCAGCCATTGACAATCGACCCTTCCATTCAGATGGAGATGGTTGCCATGGAGCCTCACCCAGTAGCGTCTCCATCAGACTCATGGTACAGTGGAAGGCTTCCTCCATCTTGTCAGCCGGCTGGAACAGCTTGGCATACCACAAGCTCTGAGTGGATCCATCTGGAAGAGAAGCCTCTCTGCAATGTCCAGAGCAGTCCCGCAGAGATCCTTTAGGGATTTACCAAATATGGACAGCTCTTCAATATTGCACACTTTCTTTAAGTCATCCTGGGTGCCAAAGGCGACTGTGACATACTGCCTCTTGCATTTGCCATCAGATATACAAGCAGTGTGCAGGAAGGTACCCTGTGAGATGGTGACTGATTTCCCATCAGGCAGGGTTCCTACACGGCAACAGCTGACGATACTGTCGCTGTGAACCCTCACTGGCGTTTGGAAGTCGCAGTGCTCTACCAAGCTCCTTTCATCAACTTTGAACTTCTTTGGGCAGATGGAATTCATGACACAGGCTGACGCTGGCCGTTTTCTTGAACCCTGCTTGGATGATGCGTCTGCAGTGTTGTCATCTGAGTCGTCCGCCTTGTACATCTTCAGACCCAGTTCCTTCGCTAGAGGCGTCATGTTGCATATGTGGTCAAGGTATTCATTGATGGTGCCCATGTGGTAGAAACGAGAGTGTTTCATGACGGCAACATTGAGAGGGGTCCCCTTGAGAACCTCAAAGATCTTCTGCCGCATACTCAGCAGGCTTGGAGTAACTCTGCTGATATTGGAGATGTTGTTTATGTATTCGGAAGTGGCGCGAGGACCAAGGGGCTGCATGAAATCCCCATGGCAGTCGATCTCACAGCGTAGTGGTGACTCGTCATTGTACAACTCAAGCAGTTTCAAGGCTGTGGGGAAGTCCATGTAGTAGCTACTGTCGGTCAGGACCATCTCTCCCTCTTCACCGATGCTGGAGCAGAAACCTTTGTCCAAGATGGCCTTCTTCTTGCCCATGGCTTCCACAGTTGGCTTGTGCAGGAACTCCTCTGCGGCCACAACTTCCACCAACGTACTACCAGTTTGCCCTGACTGGACTGCAAATACCCCATGCCCAGTGCCAACACTGACAGGTGACGGATGCCCAAGAGCTGTCACTCCTTGCACATTGAAGGACCAGCTAGGAGAATCTTCATCAGCGTACAGCTCAAAGCAGTCAGATGCTGCCAGGAATATCCCCGCTGACATCTTTGCCGGGAAGTCAATGGAGAGCGCTAGTTTGAGGTCAAACATCTGGTAGAGGGGGTCACCAATGGGCATGCTGAGGAACATCTTGCCCAGGACACTGGCATGTGGCAGGCGCTGGCTGTACCCTCCAGCTGGTATGATCAAGACTTTCTTTGTCTTCAGCTCCTCCTGATAGGTCTGTTTAAGACATGCAAGAATGGCCATCATGGATCCACCACCACCTGGGGAGCGTAGAGCAAAAACACTAAATATTAGATTGAATACAGCAGTTGATTGGAGCATGATCTTGAACAATCCCATCCCTATAGACTTTGTGTACAAGTAGTCCCTCAATAGTTACAAAGAGAGAGAGAGGTGGGAATTTCACGAAAATAAAATGTGTGCCCATTTAGAATAAAATCACTTACGTGTACTAATTGCACCACACATAAGCAAACCAATCATAAGCAATGAGAAGCTCTCAAAAGCGGTCACAAACGTAAAGGAAAAAATCATCAAATAGAGCACATTTAAAGTGACTGGGTTCACCTGTTTTAAATTTTTTTTCAAACCTCGTCAGTTTTCAATTGTTGTTTATTTTATGATTAAAAAAGGATTGTAATATTGTTAAAATATAGCATTCAACGGCTTTTAGCAACTCAACAACAGTTTGTTCATATAATGGCTCCTATTTTTGTAACTACACTGTAGTTGGTAAATACAACCCATGAAAAATTATTCACAGTATGAGCTAAAATAAGGAGGAAACATGAATTGACCTATCGCCGTTTGCGAGTTGGCCACGTTCCTTAGACAACCCTATGGAATTTTTGTACGCGAAGTTTTGTTTGTCTCAGATTTTGCGCGTTCCGCGTCCATTTCTATATCGTGTAATTGGACAATATTTCACAAGCTGCGTTGATGCGATTCTACTGCGATTCTACCGCGATAGGTCAATTGAATGCTTAACTGGTTCATTTACTCACAAAAGTTGTGTTCTGTTTATATACATAAAACACAACAATATGAGTAGCACCCCAGTAGATTAAGAAGACATTGTCTTTGTTTTTGCAAATGTCTATTTTGTTTAAATTGATAATGACATTTGTGTTCCCATGTAAATACTACACCCTTACCTATCCTCTCCGTGCCCGGGTCAGCAACCACACAATAGTCCACACCCAGCGGCAGTTGCTCCTGGACCAGTTTCTCCTCCAGCTGCATCTCATAGGCCATCTTCTGGCTGTTATCCATGGCACCAATCACCACAATGTCCCAGAATGGAAACTCACCAACCTTCTTGCCTTTAAAATTATATCACACAGACACACACAAAAAACTGATTACTTGACAGTAGATTTACACAGAAGGCGATGAATTTAGAATTTGTCTTACCATTAAGGTCTGTGAACATATAACACTGCATCAATGCTCAACCAACAAAGCTATCCGGACCAGTGTTGGCAATCGCCCAATTGAAGAAGAAAAAAAATAAAAAAAAATAAATAAATAAAAAGAAAAGATAAAACGAAAGTAGCTTAATACACACAGTAATATGTTTAATATGACTTGTATCAAAAATAATGTTGTAGTAAAATTGACGAGCAGGATTGAAACCTCGGTGTGTAACACTATATCAATGTTACACCAACTAAGCTATCCAGAACAATGTTGTCAGTCTCCCCATTAAATCTGTTCATGCATCATTCAGAACCCACTCATCTATACATGTAGGTGGCCAAGGATAACAAGTTAATTAGTCATGAGTCTAACAACTTCAGAAACGCTGCAAACCAGGGAAATGGAACTTAAGATTAACCAAAGAGAATGTAGTTTCATATCATCATCAAACATGAAGAAGAAATTCTCTAGGTTCGCCTTTAAGCAATAGGAAGTTGATCTAAGAAATTGATTGCAACAGGGTTACAACCTTTAAACCTCCACAACAACAATACAGTCCTGCGATACTAGATGATACATGTACATGCTCAATTAAATTTATGTTAAACATGGTAGTTATTGTATAAATCACTGCGTTGCAATGGTCCTATCACAGATGCATATCACCACGGCAACATAGGCAGTTGTTGCATAATGTACGTGAACTGCCTCTTTCAAACTGTTTTCAAGACCATCTATTCATAGCCAAGATTTTACACAATTCATTTAAATTCAGAACTTTACACTTTTCAAAGCAGACTTGGGAAGATTTTTTTACAAAAAAGGTAGATACTAGATTGCACGCATGCAAAAACAGAAGGCCTAAAACATACATTACAGTGCAAAAAAAAAGTATATTGTATACAGCAATACCATTATGGCAAAATTGTATCTTTTTGTGTTTATGATAAATGATTTGTTTATTATTTAATTTTTCTTTTTCAGCAAAGCATGGACACACTGCCTAAAAACAAATTAGTATCCATACTTCACACAAATGTGATTTGATATTGAAAGGATTCAAGCATGAAAAACAATTTTATTTAAAAAAAAAAGAGAGAAAAAAAGGGTAGAGACGAAGGCAAAGAAAAAAAACGTGATTGATTATAAAATGTGTTCCCTGACATCTGCAGAAATGATAGACTTATAAAATTTCAGAATGTTAATATCTGCAGATGCACACTTCATAATAAAAAAAATAAAGACAGAAATAACATTGCCATACCTCTAAGTTGTTCATACTGCCGAATTCTCTTGACAGTAGCTGCCTGGATGCAGTCACTGATGTCTGCTTGAATCTTCTCCATGCTCACATCAATGAGGGTCTGCTGCATCCGTGATCACAGGATTGATGTGCTCCAAGCAAACTGCAGGCAGAATTGAACTTGGTAAGTGAACACTGCATGGTATTTATACTGCAGGGAATAATCCATTGCATAAGGAATTTTTAATGTTCTGCTTTTCTTTTTAATTTAATTCATCCGGCTTTCGCATGCGTAGTACGTTTTGGAGGTATTATGAAATGCATATCACCATGGCAACCTGAACAGTTCTTTGAACCTGTTTTATAAGGTGTCTTCACCTGTTACACAATTTGTGTCAGTACACTGAATAACAGATAGGATGTTTTGGTTATATATTTTGGGTGGGGGGTCTTTACTGGTACATTACATCATTTGTAATTTGTGCATTATGTTCCTTTGAAGCAACAAAAAGTGCTGAAAATCTAAAGGGTGCTTAACAATTAACCCGAAGAAGTTTTAATTCGGTGAATGCTTTATATGATGAGAGAACAATATTCTAGGACTTCATTTTCAATCAAAAGTTGCTGAGTCATGTTTTAAATTGGGCCTGAATTCAGCGTCCGAGACACGTTTTCACTGAGCCATTTGCAGCTACACATTATTGCAACCGCACGCACTTCGCAAATTAAAAACGAACTACTAACAGAAACGAACTACTCATGGAAATTTCCAATGATGCGTGTTCACGATCGTGAGGGGAGCTCTCGGAATTGAACGGGAAATTTCACTGTTCATCCGGATTGTAAGTAAACTTCAGATGTCTACTTGTACCTCAGGTGGTGTATGGAGGCTATTTTGAGGGTGAAATCTGATGGGTTTTTTTTTTTGGGGGGGGGCAATGTTGGGTTTTTGGGTCAATGACAGAATTGTGTTGCTCGGCATATACGGATTAGCTTGGACCCCGAGTATCGCCAGACCATGTCCGAATGTTAAAAAATAAGTTGGGTCCAAGTTACTCGGACTAACAAAGTTCTACATTTTCGGGTACATGATTCAAGTGTGGCCTTTATATACGGAGGTAGTCCAGTAAATTGGCCACATTTATGGGGCTAGGACTCTCAATACTGAGTGAGACGAGTTCTCACGTTTCACTAGCCCGACTGCGTCTGGCCGTACAGTACTATCGCAAGCTCTGTAGTACGCAGAGCTTGGGATAGTACGGCCAGACGCAGTCGGGCTAACGTTTCACATGTCTCATGACAATTTAAATACAGCATGCAGCAGGCGCGAACTTGTTAACTAGTTTAGTAGTTGTTAACTTGTTAAATTTTAGTCCACAAGAGATGTCGTATCTCCCTCCCATCTATCTGCCTACACATCTAATTGAAGATCAACACTGAATATTGTCCTAAAAACAAAAATAATCACCAATGTTGGAAAAAGAGCAGACCTTTCCATCCAGGTAATCCCGCTGGAAGAGGAAGCGAGTGCAGCGCATTAATTGTGTAAACCATTGTGTAAACCCCGTGTAAACATATGCACGTTTCGTAACGCCCTCTTCGATTCCTAACTATGGAGGGCGCTCTCCGATCCGTGGGGTACGGGTCGGATACAGGAAATAATACTCTAGCGCGGGTCCGGGGAGGGGGGGGGGGGTAAAAAAAAACCCAGCTCCGTCCAATATTTGGGTTTTTTTCCATAGAAATTCATAAAAAAATTACGCTCCCCCCCCCCCGCTCTGATATCCAAAAACAATTATTCTGGTATTAATGTATTAGTATACGCCTGTGCACAAAATACGGACAGAGCCAGCTGGGTTACGGGGGTATTTTTTTAACCATGGTTTAAGGGGGTGGTATTTGTACACTATTATGTAATATTGTGGATTTGGACAGCGCCCCCATTTTAATTATGGCACAAGCCCAAGTAACGGCAGAAGATTGTTTAGTTTAGTTTTCCTTTCACAGATCCGGATCTATACCCACCCTACCTATCCCCAACTTACCAGTGATACCCTCTCACGCCTAAGCTATAGATTACAAGAGATTAATTAATTGGTCAGATATTCCGTTGTTTGGTCGACAATATTCTTTATTTATTATATATTTATACACTCTGTGGAAATTATTATTACTGTTATTATTATTATTATTATTAAAATATCTCGCATTGGCCGATTCATATATCCTTAGCAAGAATGCGAATGCGAATCAATTTCACGAAACATTCGCTGGGAAACTCACCGGAGTCATATTTGTGCTCAACTGTTCCAGAATTGTCGGCGGAAGTTCGCGTTCACTTTTGCGCAGAGAATGAACCGGCCTTTGCACTTCTAAAAGTCTTTAAATTCTAATTAAAAAAAAAAAAATCCATAGGTTAAATTTATTAACCTTAAATTTATTGTTGGAGGTGCACATAACCATTTCTGTAAGTCTAATGCTCTCCTCAACATTATGCCAATCAATTGGAACGAATAACTCTCCCACTAACGCAGAACTAGTTCTTAATAAAAAGTCTTTCCTTGAATAACTGTGCGAGTGTTAACAAAGTAAACGGTGATGACTGACAATAATTATACGTCAACGTAATTAGTCCCAAAGCTGCATTACAACCACTGTTACAACTTGCACATAACTCACGGAAGTAGATGTATCCACAAACAGGTCACACTATGCAAATAGTCATCTCTAAGTGCAAACAGTCTAAAATGCACACAAATCTTATAAAAAATAGACCAGCTTTCAAAGCTACCAATCTTCTACTCTCAAAATATCAAACGGTGTGCGGCTTAATAAATTATTATTTATCTATAAGATACTGACCGCTTTCTACAGAAATAACGAAGAACATATATCTATAAACTGCATAAACAAAACTTTTTGATCGTAGAGGTTCGCAAAATATGGAGTAGCTGAAAATGATTTTCCAATCTTATTGTATAACTATCGTGCTAAGCCCATTGTTTCATGTAGTCTTGTTTTCTGTGCTACACAGGCAGTACGATGCAATGGAAAATCGTGTCTTTATTCGCTAGTAAAAGTGTGCCTAAACGTTACGTTCTCATATCCATATTCACATACTCTTCCTCTTTCTTTAATCAAATTGAATAAGTTTGTTATATAAGTACGGTATAAAAAAAGAATAGCGTTGTTACCGGTATCGAGCGATTCAATTTAGGTACAACGTGGTGTTTTAACATTCATGTTTATTTCCAGTGGCGTATACACATCCGGGGGGGGGGGGGGGACTTGCCCCCCTGGCGGCATTTGATGGGGTCATTAAAAAATATTTTTAAGACAGTTTTAAGACGGTTCAGACGTTGCTGCAGTAATGTTACCCAACCTGGCACATCAAAGCTGAATACGCTACTCTTTCTAAAATACATGTACAAAGTTCCATTACACGGTCTTCACCTGAATTATAGAGGACATCATGAAGTCATGCCGATAATTCGCTAGTGTCTTTCTTATAATAAAGGAAAACATTGGGTTCACCTAATATGTGAAAAGTACATTGTGCTCGGAGAGAGGACGAGGATCAATGGTAAAATAGGTGGAAGAAAAAAATCCTGGTTTTGAAAGTCCTTCAAGTGACCAGGTTTACATCCTTTGAGGTGATTCTTTGTAATCATAATTATAAAACCAATGGAACTTTTTGTTTTTTTAGAGAAAAGCATTAATCCCTGGGACTGAGTAGCGTAAGGATGACTTTTGGACAGATGCTTTGGCTCACTGGAGGTAAAAATCTCTTAGTTGACCGGGAGGTGGGTCAGCTTGTACGGGAACTGTTGTTTCGGATTCGCGTTTAATTCCTTTCATCTTCTTCTCTAACCTGGTGATCCTCTGCTTGAGCTTCATCTGCGAGTTGCTATACTCGGCCAGCAGTCTGGAGAAGCGGGTCTGCAGATGGTTCAGATTGGCCTCCAGTCGCTCCAGTTTCTCCTCCTGCTCTGCTTGCTCGGTTGTCTTGGTGCCTCTTTTGGCTGCCTCCTCATCAATCAGACCATCTTTCATGAGGATCATCCGGCCTCTCTCTTCCAGGATGGTTCTGGCATCTGGGTATTCCTTCAAGGCGTCGAGGAGATCGTCCTTATACAGACAGAAGAGATCTGAGTAGCCCACACTGCGGACGTTAGCTGTCCGCCGGTTTCCGGATAAGCTGCCTGGAACGTTCAAGATGCTGATCTCACCAAAGTAGCTGCCCTCACTGAGTGTGGCGAAGACGGCTTTCCCATCCTCACCAACGACTTGAAGCTTCCCCTGTTTTACGATGTACATTTCTCGCCCAATGTCTCCCTTGCGGCAGATATAGTCGCCGGGACTGAATACTTGAGGTTTCAGCTTCAGCACCAGCTCCACCAACAGGCCTGGTTCACAGTCTGAGAATATCGCAACCCTTCTGAGAGTGTCGAGATGAACATGGATGGCTATCTCGGCTCTCAGTTTGTCCGGTAGAGTATTCAGAATGGCTTCCTCGTCCAACGTTTTCTTGTTGGACCATAGGTAGTCGAACCACTTAATGACGCGACCTTCCAGTTCTTTACTGACCTTCCGAAGGTTCATGTATTGTTTGACACCGTCCATACTGTGCTGGAACTCGGCCCTGGTGGCATTCATGTTGCTGATCATGGTACCAACATTACCGACAATCGTGGCGAATATAAGTACACCAACCAGGAAATCAAAGACTACAAAGACGTACTCGATGTCCTGGACTGGTTGAGGTGTCTCTCCGATAGTAGTTAGCGTGAGTGTGGACCAGTACAGACTGTAGATGTACTGGTGTAAGATGGTGTCGTTGGTGAGATCCACTGGCGTCGGTTCCCCTGGATACACCCATCCATCTGTGCCGAGTCCGATACCCGACGATATGATAAAGTAAATGCAAGCGTTCCAGTGGATGATAATCAATATATACAGAATGAGGTTAATGACACGGAATACATTGGGGAAGTTGGTGACTGTCTCGGTGCGGTCGAAGAACTCGAAGGCCCTTGGTCCGCGGAGGAGGCGCGGTATTCTAAGGGCGGGAGTGTCAATCCCAGTGACCGTGGCGAAATACAGGAAATCCAGCGGAAGCATGGACAAAGCATCGAGCTTGAACATCCAGGATTTCATGTAGCATTTTCTAAGCTTCTTTGCGTCTCTTACAAGAAGCCCTTGCTCCAGATATCCTGAGTCAAAAATGATAAGAAAGACAAAAATGATTAATGTGTGTGTTGTTGGAGTATAATACGACTCTTATTTAGTGGAAAGAAGCTTACAGCCGACGAAATAGATGTACAAGCTTTTCAAGGGAAGGCATTCGGCCATTTCTGTGATGGCATCAGTCTGGTAATGTGATGGCAACGTGTCTATCAGGCCAGTATTGTGCCGGCATTAGAACAGTATTGCGATTCATTTGGCTGGCCATGATGCCATCAATTTGATAATGTGGTGTGTCATTAGCCTGGCAAATACCATGACATGAGTACTGCTCTATTTTGTTATATAGCCATCAATGTGATAGTATGTGGCCGGCACAATAATAGCATCAAGTCGACAATATACCAGCTAAGAGGATAGGGTTGTGGAAACAATTACTTTCGCAGAAATTTGAGATGAGGGACATTATGTCACGCAGTGACGAAAACCCTTACCCGTTCTGAACTGGACAGCTATGTCCAGGATGTAAATGAAGTCGCATACGTAATCCAACGTCAGCCACACCGCCCTAAACTCACTCTGCATTAGGGGGAATGACATCCTGGCGATAATCGCCAACCAATTGTAGAGCACGGCCAACGCGATCACGCCCAACCAACGGTAGTAGAACACATCTGATCGCTCGATGACACGGATCCGGGCCAGCCGTTCACCACCACTGCAAAGGGTAGAAAAGTACACATCATAAGAAAATGTTAATCAATCTCGATGTTTTTTAAGATGCTACTCAAATTGAGAGTTGTCTGTTAAATACTTAAGTTTGTAGTCCGGTTTTATACTAACAGCTTGATTGAGCATTGTAGACTCGAGTCTCGAGTGAACTATCCGCGTTAATTGATGTTTGTTTCTTAAATAAGGCTATATGTGTACAATGTTTAAAAATACTTTTTGAGATCAAGGCAATATTTTGTTCAATATGTAGAACGTTCGGGAGCCATAGAAATGATGGGTAACACGTGTGACATCACTTCAACAATCTTTCGACCGTGCTTCAAATAGAAGACCGTATGATTGATGGAACCTTATCAGCCTTCATTCTCAAAATATAACAGGTGCATGAGATCTTGTTCCTTGGCTCTTCCCAATATCAATTTATAATGAATGAGAAGTCTCGCATTAAAGTGACTGCATACATGGTTCCTGGGGGGGGGGGGGAATCTCCGAGACTCTTATTAAAATAAGAGGTTTGTTTTTGTCAACAACAACTTCTGGTTCGCTTCGTCAAAATACAAAGATGAGGCCTGCGTGCATCACCAACAACATTTGTCCAAAGGTTGAGATAACGGTGGTCGCAACTCGATCTTCGGTTCCGATGGTTATCTGCTGCGACTCGCAGTGCGAGCGCCCTCTTGTGGCTGTAAAGCTATTAAGAACAATTAGGGATCTGTGGAAACTTTTATGCCGTCGGGTATTGGTTTTCTTGCATGCAAGACTATAATAGCTGGTACTTGTGGCGACAGGCATCATACTTACATTTTCACTTTACACTGCGGAGTATAATTTGACCAGGATTTCTGTACTGCGTATAATAGTCGGCCTTTTCTTTGTGCCATGAAAACAAACAGTCTTAGTGCTCCCAAAGAGTGGCAAGTAAGTGCCTATAATACAGCCAGCAATATCAATATTAAACCTTGCTCTTTATATTTGTTTCTAATTTAATTAATAAGTCGGTTTGTTTGATTGTCTTGATAGCTAATGAAATTACTGATGTACATTTTGCATAATTGTTTAGTGCAATTCGAAGTTCTGCGATTTTCACATTTGACGTGTATTGTTATTATGTATGAATACATGAGAGAGAAGATCCCTCTCCTCACACATGAGATGGTGTATTGTGTAGAGATGACTTTATTTTCTTCCAGTCTAAGGTCACTATAAAACGAAATGCCAATAGCCATTGAAAGGTAGATATCGGGCGATGAAAAGCGTAGCAAATGAAAAGCAAAGTCCATTAACATAAACGCGGGGGAAAAAAACAACAAAAACATTGCTGCGAACAAAAGCGCTCTCCGGCTCCGCAGCAGCATTTTAAAGATGAAAAGCACTTGACATTTCCTAAGATGTCTTGTGCATGTACACTCTTTTCTGTCAATCTTTTGTGTCGATATCTCTCCATTCCCGACAATGTTTTATTATTCAGTTGCACAGGCGCGTGTAATACAGTTTCTTTCTTTTCATCCCATATTCTCTGGCCAGCTCCTCATAATTGTATCAGTTTATTGAAATCTGAAGAATCTATAATCTTATGTCTGTGGCCATTTTTATTGGGTTTGTTCTCTAAATGTATTTTTCTCCTTTTTTTGGCTGTTTTTCCTTATTTGTATCATGTTCAGTGTATTTGTACATGCATGTTTGTACGGATTTAAGCCCCTTGGCAAGAGTCATTTCATTTTGCTTATTGACTGATACTGATTACTTTCCACCATGATACGATTGAAATGATGGGATCGTGAGGTTTGATATGATACCTACGAAGTTTTCTTACCAGCAACATTCGGGAAACATTTTGATTGTCTAAGGCAAATCAGTTCATGACATGGATATCATTGCAATCTGATATTATGAGGTACGCAGTATTATACCCCTTGGGTTTTGTATCGATTTACACATGAATGTATGCCCACAGTAGCCCTAAGCCATAATGACGTCACGCTTTGTTTACATGTGCACTTTCCTATGGGAGCTTGGTGGATCCAATCTTGTCCCCACCTTGCTCCCATGGGAAAGTGTACATATAAACAAAGCGTCACTTCAGTATATCTTAGGCCTATTGCGTTGAACAATTCGCAATTGCGTTGCAAGACACATTTTATGGGGGACGGGGGAACCGGGGGAAACAAATGAATTATAAGACCTTTGACGGGGTTATTTGACACTAGAGGGCGCTGTCTGTTTTACAAAATGTCACGTATATATTTGCATAACCTCGTGTTAGGTCCCTTTCCCTTAGTTTCAACTATTATCTGAACGCGAAGTTCAAATAAAACACTGTCATTTGGCCTGTTCTCCCCGTTTCTATTAATTCTCCCGATTAGGGGAAGGGGCTGTTGTTCAACGAGGGGTTAATCCTCAGACACCGCCTTCCCTGATGCTTACGCCGTTGTCGGTATGAATTTATCGAAAAACTGTGCAGGTCGGCTGTCCAACACGACGACCAACACTCCAGCACTCTTGTGAGTCAAGAGAGACACTCTGTATAGTAATTCGCAGGATGGTATTGTTTTCCCTGCTACGATAATCCCTGTCAATCCCTCCTCACGAAGGAAACAAATCAATACCCTTACGCTCCCAACTCGTGTTCACCTGAAGACGCGCTTGGCTTCTCGTAGGATATGCCTGGGTGCATTGATTTTCGGATATGGCAAGATTAAGCATTATGTATTACCCATGTTGTGGAAATTGGAGGTGCTGTAAGCTGAATCCGTCCATGCACAGTCGTCATAACATTATCTAGTCGATAAGTCGGATCACATAACTGGTATTAATGTTTTGAAAGGCATTGGACTAAATTAAGTAATGTTTTCCAACGTCTTCATTTCATATTATGTCCAGCTCGTATGTTGTCATTTTGAACAAACATATGACAGGGAAAAAACAAAACAAATCAACGGATTATTTAAATTCATGGTGAATTGGGAGTCATATTCAGGCAATATACATTCGTATACCTAAAGGCACTAAGGTCTGATTTACGATAAAAAAAGACAGTAATTTGTAACAATACAATAACAATTTAAGTACATATTATCAGAAAGTGAATACCTATATCTGTAGTCCATGTTCAAATCATATATACCAAAATGTATGTTGAAATTTGAATAATAAAAGTTTAAAATTGAAATTTTCTCTTCGATAACATGGTTTTTATAATCACTGCAATTCATACAGCGTCACAATATGACGCTTTCAGAACGCTATTCCATTATAACACCTATACAGTAAACATGTTTGGCCATCCTCTCCACTGATTCGATTTGGAAGTTCAATCACGAAGTCATGTAGTCCTTGGGCGGTGTCCATGTAAATACTGCGGTCCAATATCTACTTCTGATTAATATGTGCAACAGAAGCTTTTGCGTCGACGCACGGCGATTAATCAGCCCGCGTGCGAACGTGAAAGTATCAAAGCCTTGATTAGTGTTATAAGATAGGATATTATAATGCTCTAGTTGGCTCATAGGCTACTCTTGTACTTTGAAGGACACTTTGCCTATTGGGCCCACGAACTTATTTCATGCTACACTCGGCAGTGGCCTTAATATATTTGAATAATAAATCATATTTTAAGCGTTTGGGGATAATATATTTGACGGATAATAATTTCGCTAGTGCACTGGACAATTTAGGTAAACCTATTAATTGTGAAATACTTTTTTAGAAAGGGAAATATTTTTAAAAATTCATTGATGCCATTTAGGTCCCCTTGCCTGAAAATATTTTAATTGTTTAAACCTCTTTCGATATCGAATATCGATATCGAATGAACGGACTTCTGTGTTTGTTTTATTTATTTTTTTCTCAAAGAAAACGGTCGGAAAGTGACGGGAACAGCCAACCAATGCACCAAGAAAAGCTTTCGGAGAATATTAGTATGAAATAGCATTAATTAATATGTATTTAATTCCCCCCCCCCCCGATATTTCGGTTGACACTTATTATTTTGATTAAGGTTTGCGTTCTCTCGTTTTACAGGGAATCATTCCAGATTTGCAATGATGAGTAAAAGACATTGTGGCTGAAGAGCGTATAGAGAGTACTCCACAGTGGAGTGAGTTGTCCCACGGATTCGTTGCTACTGTGCCGATGGGGCATTAAGAGCGAAAACCCGTCTCGCGAAAAAAAGAAGTCGTGATCACAAAACTACCGGCGTTGGCCTTGCCACATCGCGCGGGCGACATCACCCGAGGATATGAGTAAATTACACGGTGATCGTGTCAAATGTAATAGCAGGGTAGGGATGAGGCTCTCTCGTGCATTATGGGTACGGACCGTATGAGAAATCACGTTGCCTTGGTGACAGTTTCCGTCTTGGGGAAATTAATGACAAGAGGAAAGCTGGTTTGAGGGTTTTGAATCCATGTCTATTATAGGCTCCAATTTGACCCCGTAAGGTTTAGTGCACGGCGTATTCAGGACGAAATTATAATTTTGTACTTTTCGGAATTTTGATTTCAGGATGTACTTAATTTGAAATAAATATGTATTACTTCAACGAATGGCATGCATGAATTAACCACATGTAATTGTTTTGCTGTGAATAAACTTAACGGTTTCTTATTTCACGTATATCTCACTATTGACCTGGTTTTTTTATGGGATAATAATAGGAAAATCCACTTTTAATGGTGATACTCTGAATTGTATGTTATAAATACACCCCCCCCCCTCCCAAAAAAAGAAATCTCGGCAATTGCATTGGTCTCATATTAGGCCAATTTCTGCAGAACACCCCTATGATGTGAAATATTTATGAGTTTGATATTCCAGTCAACCATAGATGACTCTCCTCGAGCCCAAACCGTTAAGTAAACCTTCAAAATACGTTACGGTATTCAGGGCTTCTTACACATTGCATACGGGTACAAACTTGCCGTATAAAATCAGACAAGAAGAATTTACCCAGAAATCGATCACAAATCCATTCTCGGCTGCATTTTCCGACGGCACGGTAATAGGCAAGTAATTGGTATGTCCGCAGTGGTTCCGGGACATCTGCGGGAGGCAGGTGATGAGCCTTGGATCGTAGCGGAGCGCGCGGCGTCTCGTACGGCCTTGGTTGGGATATAGTCTGCGCTTGCATGGCGCCGGTCTTCATTGCAAGCTAGAGTCTTGAGCCCGCTTACAGGATATTGTGACAGTGGTACGCATTATGTACCGCTTGAGGCAGTTTTCAATCCTGAGATTCCAGAATCCGGAATGCAGTGGCTAGGAAAAGTGAAGCGACACGACAACAACATACTGATTTTTCTCTAAAAAATTGTTCTTCCGAGCCATTGTTTGCCATTTCCCAGATACACGAAGCTTGTATGTCAAGAAAGGCAAAACACAAAACCTATTATTGCTCACTTTTTCTGAGTCGTAATTTAAATTCTCATGAAATTGTAACACCATCCAGTGACTTCTGTGTTACACCTGTCTTCCAATTTCATGTATTAATCTTCGTTCATCAGAGAAGCGCAGCAGAGATTCAGAAACGCATTCCAACGACAGGAATTTATTAACTGAAATATGCTTTGACTTCCCGTGGGTTCCCTCTTTGTTGAAACCTTTTAAATGCATTGTTTTTATCACAAAGTAAACAAACCAGCATTTTCCAATTCCAAATCATAGTTGAGTCACCAACGAAGTGTGACCTCTTCCTGTTTTGTGCAGTATGCTAATGAAATTTGAAAAGACATTTCATTTTCCAAGGGGTAAATAAAGCAGTGAGGCACCTCAGGTTTCGTTCATAGAAAGTGAGCGATGAAAAATCACCATAATATTATGCACGGTGATTTCCTGCGTAAACATTTCTACTAAAAGCATGGTCTGGCACCTTGCTCCAAACGCGGACTTTGACACGGGATATGCAGCCGGGACCTGACTGATTTTCTCAAGCGAGCATTAATGACGTAGGCAAATAATCCGCCGGCCTTAGCAACGGGGCGGATGCCAGGGACGTCTAGTGTACAGGGAGAGTCGGGAATGCATCCCACAAACAATCCTTAAATTGATCAACGGGTGTACACGCGCTGGCCATAAAATTATTGTTTGTGAGATTTAGCCCTTGCTGTAGCGCGTAACCAGGGTTTGTTTGCCCGTTGCTAAATATATATTTTTTGTCCCGTTAATCCATTTTTTCCTGTCCCGATTTTGCTTAGGCCTACAGCAGCGTCCTGATTTTGCTTTTAAAATCTCCATCTCTTTGCAATCTGCCACTCTCTACCCCCCCCCCCCCGTTACGCTACCGTGCTGTATACTAGGAAACAAAATGTTTTGATTTGCAAACTTATATGGTAACCTCTTTACTTTTGTTTGAATATTCGAAATGTTTTACACTCTTTTGATGTTCAGGTTTGCATTTCAAGTGCGTTTTGTTGTTTTGAGAATTTCTTAATGGGTGTTTGGTTTTCTCTGTGTGTGTGTGTTGTTGTTGTTGTTTTTAAGGAATGCATTTGGCTGCAAAGGAAACGTCGTAAGATTCATCTTTAAAAGTCAATATCAAGAGTGCAGTAAGTCCAAACACTGTCTTGGAATTATTTGTTGCGTTTAAATTCATTGTGTTATTGCTTTGATCTCTTAGTCTTAGCCCATTGTAATGAATTAGAGGCCATTAAATCGACAGTCACCATTGATTTTATATAGAAATTGAAGCAAGTTGATGAATTTTATCCAGAGTTTTAAAATTAACCCCTCAATCTCTTTTAAATGTTGTGATACATGATTGTCACCAACGAGTTTCAGTGGTTGGTTTGAGCACCATTTTTTTCCTTCAAATTGGGTCAAATGGTAAACTTACCCGTCTCCCAATTCTGTCCCAACCCTAGATCTGTCCTCCATTTGGGGTCCAGCCATAGCCAGTCGTTCCAGAAAGGAATCTGCCCTCTTGGTTTGTTCTTCCCCTCCTCTTGTCACCCAGCCTTTGATGACCTGTAGCGTGCCCACGATCTTGCCCATGGCTGACTCCTTGCGTCGCTTCTCCTCGTCACTCCCCTCATCCGCGCTGTCCGGGTCATAATAGTCGCCGGCGATGACACTGCTGTCACCGGCACCGCCATTTGTCGCCACGGTCAGGACGGTGGAAGCGGCTGGCTGGTTCTCCTCCTCATCCGGGTGTTGGCTCTGTCGGCTGGGGTTGGACTTGCGGCTGTGGTGTGACTGCATACTGTGCCGTGAACGATTGCTCTGCTGGGACTGGCGGCCCGAGCCCGGTGCCTGGCCCTGCTCCACCGCGTCAAGTTCGTCATCGTCCGGTGGTAAAGGCATCAATGTAGGGTCTGGCTGACCCTCATCTGCTGGTGCTGCTAGTACTTCCCTCGAGGAACCTAAACCATGCTTCCTTATCAATTTATCCATTTTGCGGATAAACGAACTATGAATTGATAATTTGAGGATACAAAGATTACACAGGTTGAGTCTTCAACTCATACTTTCAGTATCACTGCCCAGAGTAAGTGGCTTGATGTGAAAGATAGTGCTTCACATACACAAGAAGACATTTTGTGAAAATGTACAGGGAAGTCTATTCGTTTTGGTGAAATTTATACCAAATTAGTGTTTCGTCTTGCCATAAGAATGATCTGTAGCGATTTCAACAAGAGTGCTTTCTGACATCTGTCTCTATCTCAAGCGCCAATGTGAACTTCACATCACGAAAAAGCATACTTTGCACATGCACAGAAGAGATCTTGGAGAGTGACGGATTTTTCTTATCCTCGGCACAAACCGTCTTGAAGTTAATGGGAAGTCCTCCGTGTGTTCTGTCTCAGCGTCCTGTCCTCGTCACCGCTGATAATAGCAGCCTCCTGTCTAATTAACGAAAGAAACAAGGCATTGTTATAATTATGTCACAATCAGTGATAGCTCGCAAAGGATTCGTCATCATAGCAAGGACAAATCTTATATCAAGGTATTAATTCTTATGACGTCATGGACCTTTTGGTGTGCGTAAACGTATATAATTTCTTTATCGCACACCGGATGTTCGCGGTGACAACTGTATGATTGAAGAGAGACACGCTTCAGATGTTCATGTATTGAAATGGCACTGCTTTGAACGCATTGTGGGTACCGTTCTGTTGCTTTTCCTGAACAACATTAATATAATGTCCCAAACACACACAGTGTGCGTGATGCACTATTGCCGTCTAAATAGGTGTGCAGAGAGCAAATTTAACCTTTATATGGTAAATACTTTCCATTGCCATTACCAATAATTGCTCAGACCACCAATAAAGGGAAGTTAAATGAAATAACCATGAGCACATTAATGGATAAAAAGATGAATTGTAAAAAAGATATTTAAGTAGACTTTTGTGTTGTTTTCCCCATACTTTTACTATTTCCATAAAGGTTGTATACGTGATCTAACTAGCACCATCTTATGGTGTGCAATTATTGAAGTGACACCTTTAAACCACGAAGGAAATATGTGAAATTCATACATAAACTTAGCATAAGCGACCGTGCCATTTTGTGTTCATCGCTGGACACTTTGTTTGTTTCACAAACGCATCTGAACTATAGAAGTTATTTTTGACAGGCTAAAAGGGGGAACATTGGCACAAAGTTTTAAAATAAAAATCCCCTCCTTTGTGAGGTGATATTTCTAGAGTCCATTAATCGATTATTACTTTTCAAAGCGACAACATAATATAAAGTCCGTTTCAGCAGTGGTTTTCCAAAGCCCAGCTTTCTTTCAGATACCATGATGCCATTGATGCTATAATTATCATCAAACCTTACCAAACCATGTACTTCACCACCTGAGACATTCATCTGCTAAGATAACATGAATCGATCCGTATAACGAATAATAAATTAAGGAGAAGAGGATTCTTATTAAAATGGGTGCTGTGAGAATCAGAATGTCATGAAAATAATGTCATCGTACTTAATACGGCACCACACGTCAGCGGAGAAGACATGCATCAACTTGAGTAAACAGAAACCCATCCCTGCGTGAAGCGACGACGAAAATGAGATGTTAACGATGTGAATCCGGCAATATTTGTCCTTTCAAAAACGGCCTTCTTGGAGACATCATGCAACATCCTTGTTTGTGCTGCATCTGCAATACATCCTCGAAGATAATTACAGAGCTTCATAGCCATGCAACTCTTTGTGTAAAGCCGTTCTCATTAGCGCAATAATTACACCAACATAAAGAGTGTTTGTGTGTTTACCGCAAAGTGCCTTTTAGTGTGGGTAAACAATATTCATTAATGACGTATAGGTATGTCCGACTGAGATGTACTCGACTGAGCGACAGAGATATAAGTTCCTTCTCATAATATTTTGTTCTTCCATGAGATAAGCAGGAGAAATACCATAAGTTGTATCATGATTTTGGTAAAGCCTCTATATTCGGATTACAGTGTTGCATACCCGTTCATTTTCTTCCGTTGTTCCATTCACTCTGATATGAAGTTAACGCGATGTAACGTGATGTTAGAATGATGTAACGTGATCTTCAGTTTAATCACTGCAGCTCGGCTGTATTCATATCAGATTTCCATGTAGTAGGCCTATATATTCAGTGATTGTACTCATATGAAATCGCTATATACATATGCAATGCGATTCATTATAGGGCCTACACAGTATCTTAAATACAATACAATATATACAATACAGTAACAAAGAAGAAAACATCCCCAATTATCATTATATATACACGCTAGATCAGAAAAAGCTTACGCTGAAACCGAAGACTGTCATTACAAGAAAGCCCTGTACTAGACATTTTAAGTCTTCATTCGGTGCACTGAATTTCATGCCAATCCAGAATTTCACCGCTGTGCTGAATGACGTCAATCGGATCGCAATAAGGCGCCATTTGTAGCCGCGGCGTCGACGCACTCAAGTCTTCGGTTTTATCTCAGGAACGCCTTGGATAATGCCTTTTTAAGCTTCTCATCCACATCAATGCTGAATTGTTAACTGCCTCATCGGCAGTATCCGAATTCCTATCATCTTCTGGTGCACATTTGTGGTTCAAGCTCAATCTGATATCGTCTTTCTCGATTTCTTTTCTCAGGAAAACTGTTTTTAAAAATATCATATTTAGGGGGCCTACAATTATCTTTGAAACAAAAGCCGTACCGATGCCCAAACCGAATTGCTATTTATTACAACGAAATAAACTTAGCTAGCAGAATGACATTTAACATACTGCATTTCCTAAACTGATAGGGTAGAAAAGAGGTGGGAGGTTTGTGTCATCCTATACATTAATGTTGGCTTGACGCTTTTGCCCTTACTATCAAAATCGCCTCACTAAATAAAGAGTAGTGTATATCAAAATAGCTTCGCACCTAGTTTTATATCTATAACCTGGGGTTTTCCTGAGTGCAGATGTAAATCATTAAAGTGCACTTACGGATTATTCGTGCGTTCGCGCCCCTGATCTCGCAAGGAAGTGAATTTATTAAGACGCCAAGCTCCGTGATGGTATTCATGACTGACTTGCTTGATATATCTGTTCATGAATATTTCACCCGAGAACGGAAACACCTCGCGCAATGTTCTCCACATTGCAACTCTATTAACACTTTGGAATGGTTGTATTTGACTTTTTTTCCCCAGGCTGCCCGCCGTGCAAGCTGCCTTGCAGGTTGCAGTATATGACCCCTTTTTATCTGCAATCAACCGCCTAAAGTGCTTTTGATCGATGTGATCGAAGAGGCTGGTCCAGACTCAATTCCTTCCGAGCTCCAAAGTGTCACGCCATTTTAACAGAAGCACTGTATTCTGCGCATCACTTTTCCAACGAAAGTGCATCTATAATGTGTTCTGTCAAGTGACTTTCAAATTGGAAATATAAAGATTATGTCGACATGTCAATTTCACGAAGGATTGCAACCTCATTAACCCACGGACAACTACCTTATATAAGTAGCATCCGTGACATCAGATTTCACACATGCGCCTTGTTAATTTCCATCTGACGTCACACACGAACACATTACAAAACTTTTTAAAGCAATATTTAAACGAGAAACTTGCTGAAGATAGAGTTGGTTAAACTCTCATTTTGACTGTGATGGACGCGTTTTAATTTGATATCCAATCGTTTGATCATTACCATGAGAAGTCAATTAAACATAGGTCAAAAGTGAATTCAGACAACATGCCTCTTGAAAGAACTCCCAAAACATACGTCAAGAAATACAATATTTACAAGAAGGCCTGACTTTCAAAGTAATTTGCTGTGCTAAAAGCTAATGGAGCAGGGATATTATCTAAAGTTAATCCTATATATAGGCGTTAAAACCAAATTGTTTGACAGGACATGATATCATAACCTTTCTTTTAACCTTCTGCTTCGAATGCAGAATAAAAGCTTTCAAGTGTCCCATTATTGTCTTATGGATTATACTTTCATGTTAGGTGCCTGGTAGCCAGGAAATGATTAGGTAGAAATGCATGAGCTGTAGCTGGGTTACCAATTAAAGATGTCTCTTTCAAAGTGATTTGCAGAAGAGTTCGTGAGATGACATGCACATAATGCCTGTCATCATCGGAAGATGTAGGCCTATATGTAAGAGTATGGCGTGCAGTTGTGTATGCCTTAATTATTGGACGAACTGTATCTGCAGAATAAGATATGAATACTCATTAAGAAGTCGTTGACGCTTGTGGTGTTTTGTGAAGATTCAAACGCGGTATTGAATGAAATATTAAGAAATTTGCGGATTTCGCTTGTCAAACACATTAAATGTAAGTCATTATAATGAACCTTCAGTAAAGGTTTTTATCGATGGTAATATTATCCGCTATTATTACGTGTATGCTATATTGCCCAGCCAGTCTGCCTGGCGACTCACGCTCTGCGTATACCAAGCTGGACCGAGGAAAATGGGGACAAGCCTTTGAGAAGAAAAACAGTAAAATAATCTGGGTGCGCTCCGTTATCGAGTGGATGGTACGGGGATACGTGACTTTCATGTGCAATCACAATCAGCCCTGATCGAGTCGATGGTTATTTGCAAACAGGACCTCATTCCCGTCAGCACAACGTGAAGGAAATAAACTTCCTCTCCCCCACCGCCGCTACACAAAATACATATCATGTACAGTTTTCCTTATTACAGTCGTATATACGTTTCTGATGGAAAATCTCTGCACGTACCTATCAATAGGGAATGGTATAAGGTTATTTTTGCCAGTAATATCTATGTTGGTATACTTATGACTAATTTCAACGATTCCATTTTTACATTTTCATATAATCTATTACAAAGACTGTAAGTATTGTTTATTTTGACAAATCAGCCCAAAATAATAAATAAGCCCTATCGTCAGTAAAAGTTGGTCACATTACACACAAAAAATGAGGATTCGGTTTTATTTTATTAAAAACTCCATATTTTTATTATTAAAATGGCTCCATATTCCCCTGTAACAATTTAGAATGCACACATTTTGTTTTTCATCTTAATTTCAATGAACGCAATTAATTGAGCATTGGTTTACCTGACCTTGGGGATCCGGAGTGCTAGGTTGTGTAATTGAAAAAGTAAGACGAGGATCAGGTGGTCGTACTAGAACCGCACTGCCATCCTTTAATTCGATTTACCTGATGGCTTGTTGGAGTTTCACTGTCTATCTTACGGCTAATTGAGCCAGCGTGTAGGTCAATTAGCAAACACGCCGCAAACACTGAATTTTTGAAATCGACAATGGATACAAGATGTGGTTTGCATATTTTTTATTCCAATGGATATTGTTTATTTTTTGCTCGTGTGTTAAAAAAAAAAGTATTGGGCAAAAACCTTAAAACTACCAGAAGAGTTATGTAATTATACCAATATGGGACACTTTTGTCCGTATTGAATGAAACGATGACACTTGGAAAGATCGTTAAAAAGTAGCATTATAGAATGGTCACATCACAACAATACACTTTGAATAATAATTTCTATTTTAATGCAAATATCGCACGAAGAGATTTCAGGGTACCAAATTGTTTTGGTCCACAACCATCGAGCAGGTGAAGACGGGACATGATCCAGAGGAGTGTTATTTTGACCCGGAGAAGTGTTGTTTTGGGTCTCAAAAGTACATATGCAGGTCAACAGAACCCGGATAAGGGGTCTAATCTGACCAGGGCTTTTAGTGAAGAAACGCCCGTTGCGCAGTATAACAGAGATCAGTGGTTGCGCTTGGATCGCCATGTTTGTAACTCGGAAACTGGAGTGGCACCTGATATCCCACAGTGAAACTAATATCACTTATATGTTTGCGGCGCCAGGCTTACGTACCCGGTACTTCTGGAAATACGTATATAGGCAAGGCAAAAAATCACTGCCGCGTCACATGTCGGAAAACCTGGGTTTTTGATTTTCTCTTACGTAAAATTAATAGACATTGTAGGCCCTATATAGATTTTCTGTGAAAAGGGGCTAGTTAACGTCATGGAACCAATTTTGTTGTTGCAATCACCGGACGAACGTACACCTTCAGTATAGGTCATGTCAATCTGTAGGCCTCATTAAAAATTGGTATGCTGAGTCTCAGTTATCTTTAACCCATCACCTCATTATTTTGTATACGCTCGTACAGGCCCAATAGGCTTCACGTATTCCCTTCTCACACCATTGCGATTAAATCAGTGGGAAACTGGCAAACAAGCAGGACATTTTTCCAACCGAAACTGTAACGGACTTTTGTCTATAATATATTTGCTTCTTAAATCATACACTTTATAAACTGGACTAATAAATAACACAAATTGTGTCTATGCTAATGATTTCAAAATGATGTCAAGTGTTGAATTCTATAACGTTTCATAAAAAGCATAATCATGACGTTTCGGCGTTTTGAAATTTATATTATGACTTCGATGTACCCAGTTTTCTTTCTCCTGATCATTATTTTTTAGAGACATCATTACGTGATGTCTTCAATAACTTGGCCCATTTGTTTTTCTGCCGGCCTGGATTTAATGACCCCGACATTTTACTTTAATGTAGAAGTGGCCCGAGGACATCAGGCGAGTGTTATTATTAAAGTCTGCCTTTTTCAATAACTCATCGTGATATGTCGACAGCAAAAACCCTCAGCAAAATCCCATTAGCAGTGCCTGTCCGAGCACTATAATGACACAGCCTTTACTTGATTTTACTCCCGAGTTTTATCCACGCAAAGGGGAAAATGATGCCCTTGGTTTGAAGCAGTTTGAGAGACGACACCGAGTGGTCTGTGATTCCCGTCGATCCTTGCTGCATACAGCGAGCAAAGCTGCATGTATTCATCATCGAATAACATCCGTTCAGAAAGCTCATAATCAGTTTCTTGAATTCAAAATGAGACGGGACGGACGACGGGAGAGCAAGAGGCTGTCTAGACTGACAGCATGGCTTGCCTGATGGTCGCTGCTTCACGTCCAATTAAGACTTTTTGTGATCAAAACAAAGACTTACGTAAGCCAGAGATCATTACCTATCTTCCCTGTTCAAACTGTTTCTTGTTCATGAATACAACGCGTAATATAGTCTATAATCACTTATGTACACGAAGGCAAGTGTTGAGCACTTGCAAAAACAACATTATCACTGCAGTTGCGCAACTCAGATATTTTACCGATTTTAATATTTTAAAAGAGCAACGTCTGCTTCCTGAATTTGGTTGTGAAATCAAGAACAAATCGTTTTCACAACACATTGTTCGAATCGTTAAAAATAAGTAATAATGTTCCCCATTTCTCCCCAACATTCAAACACGTTTCCTGTTTTTCAAAATATAATGGAAATAATTAGTTCGGGATTTTTTCACCTTTTTAAATTCCAACCAAAAAGAAAATCCAGGCCTAAACTGCGCCTGTGAATTATATTGTCTTCACTTGATCCTTCATTGTAGCCTACTGCACTGCAGCAACCATATTGTCGTGCATTGTCACGGCATACTGCTGAGGGAAATAATTACGTTATCTTTCAAGTGGTCAAGCCAGAGCAGGCACATTAATGCATGGACACATTCTTTTATCATAATTTCTGTGCAGAATTTATCGCGCCCATTCACACTGAATGCATAGGGGCCAATGTGTGACCTTCATGCAGAAAACAAATCTGAATAAATAATCGTCTAGTGAATGATGATCGTTTTTAATTTTGTGTTTCGGCTTTTTTTGTATTTGCAGACTGGATTGAAATGATCATGCATGCACACGCAGCACGGTTCTGAGAAACGGTATTCCGTCCTGCGGCTGTTTTATGACGACTATCAGTGAGGAACTGATACAGATAGGTAAGTCTTACATTTACAATTTATTTTGGCGTAGTCTGTAGGCCTATACAAGTCTTTCAAGCAGTAAGTTTTAAGCCAAGCTGTCTAGAAGACTCGCGCCGCATAAAATCTATCTGTCAATCCACTGTCAAATATCAGTCCCTTGCTATAGCTTTAGAATCTTGGCGCACACGCGTTTAAGGAACGCTTTTTTTTAGTTGTTTTATCTCATGATGTTTAAACACAAGGATGAGTTTACAAGCAAAACAATCAAATTCGAATTTAAATAAACGAAGACATTTCTTGCGCGGCAGGGGGGATTGGTTTTGTCTTATACTACGTAAAAGTTGAACACGGCTAGATTTAGCTGTCTCCATTTGCCTGTCTCGATATCCAAGAAATTGAATTATTTTCCTATTTTCACTGCCAATTGGCGAATTATACACGGAGCGGCTTTTGCTGCGAAATGTCAAGGTTTTCGTCACTCGAAATAATTCCTCGGTTGGTACCGGACATGCTCCTGGTCGAGAATCAGATTTGAGATGTTTGCCTTCTAAAATTTGATTTTTCTAGTTTTGTTGAAATTAGTCACGAAGCACAATGAAATTACGAAACAGAATTACGTGGAAGTTTATTATGTACCGTTTGTTTTCGTTTGAAAAGACAAAACGAAGCGAGAAAAAAAAGTTGTTTAAAATTAGATTTTTCGCTGGGCGTAGATGGCGAGCCTGCTGTCATCTTACTGACTGAGTCATTGGCTGACTGACGCACTTAAGTACATGTATTTAAGTACATGTATTAAATAATGTCTCAAACTGCCGAAAAATTCGATGTGGTCAAGCTTGACCAGGAAAGCTCAGTCTTGTTTTAGTTACTGATTCGGGGTTTACTGCGTGGCCATGTCAAGGATATTGCATCATGGTTACTTATTAAGATGACCATAGTGTAATCAAGTCAAACATGATCCATAAACACGTTTGCCATTACCTCATTCTGCGACTGGGGCACGACACCCTGCCGTCCTATTTGTTCCAAAGCAGGGAATATTCAAGTGCCCGAGGCATGACGAGTGCGTGCAGATCGCGTGTCGTGAACAGGACAAACTTCAAACTGTCCAACACCTCCACAGTTCCTAAGCCCACGCTTAGACCATGGAGTGAGGAATAGGCCTATAACAGAAACAAATCTAGACCTCATGGCTTGTCGATCTGCACTCGAAAGTCTTAGATAAGGACATTATTTATAGTCAGTGCCTCAGTCAGTCAGTGACTCCATCAGAGGACAATAGAGGTTGACCCTTCGGTTAGCAAAATAACTAGTGCAAACACGCCTGGCGCTGATGGGAGCTCGCAGTAAACTTCAATTTCCCTCTTTTTCTCATTTTCCCCCCGAGGGATGCATGTTTATGTGAAAATGTCGAAGCCATCTACTCTTTCTCCAAATTAATTTCTCCAAGCAAACATGCATGATGTCAGCGAGGCCCCGCCCTCTGCTCAATTGTCCTTTGCATTTTTCATCTCCTGATAATTTCTTCATCTGGTTGACAATCTGCCCCGCTGCAATCGAATCAAGATTCCCCGCCTGTACCGTCTCAAAGGTCGAGACCGTTCAATTCGTTATATCGCCATGGAAACCGAGAGATTCTGAAACACAGCTCCGATCGCCGACATCCTTAAGTGCTTGTCAGTTTCAAGGTTTTCTTGTGAGGGTGTGTGCGTGTAATTTGTGATGCGCTCTTTTTCACAGTTGTGGTTTTTAAGCAAAGTGATGCATCTGTTTCGGCTCTTACCGTGTCACTTTCGAATCGTTTGCTCGATCTTCGTGAGATTTATGAATGAAAACAAAAGAGTCCTCGTTGGAATTAATGTTACTCATTGTACGCATACGATCTACACCATTACATTTATTCAGCAGACGAACCAGGAAAATATGCAACTTAACAATTCCGAATCTATAGCAGGATATTTGGTTTTATTATTCCCCTTTCATTCATATTAATGAAAAAGCCATTGAATTTTGGATTTAATTCAGACGTCGAAATAGTGAGGCTTGTGTGCTCCGCCCAGAGTTGAACCCCGTACATTAATATGCACATGGGCGTCGCGAGGGAGGGGGGGGGGGCGCTTTCTCCCCCCCCCCCCCCCCGGAAAACGAAAACAAAAGAAAAAAGGGGGGGGGAAGGCAAATGCTCTACTCACGCTCGGAAAAATGATAAATTGAGAATATAATGAAAAAGTTAAGGCATTTTGGGAAAAAAAATGCTTTGCTCCCCCCCCCCTGGAAAATATCCTGGCGACGCCCATGAATATGCAGCAACACTTATCTTAATGATATGACAGTGAACAGTTTTTATCATCTTAATGGATGACATCGACAGTGAACAGTTTTGATCATCTAAACGAAATTACAGTTTTGTTATGTTAATGAAATGGTATAATGAATTATAGAAAACATGCCCACGACACAGAGAACCAAGATTTAACGTGAGATGCGAGGTCGGCTTCGCAGTTTTTACAGACCCAAAAAATCCTCTTATTCTTCAAGGCAAACACGCATTATAAATGTCAGCCCATTACATCAAGACATCAGACCGCGTAACTGAAGTCAATAAAGCATGGGTTACTAATCAGTGGCTGCTGTTCAAACAACGCCTAATGAACACTAATGGATAGACCATGCCATGTGATGTCAAAAAAAACGGATGAAATGACCGGGCCAGATTTCTTGAATCCTACACGAGATAGAGATTGTGTATTCACAGCCACATTTATTTTCGACTTTGCTCTCAAATGGCTACAAGGACGAATCAATGTTATGATGTTATGTATGCCATGACTTTAGGATAGTCCAATTTGCTTGGTCTAATTACCGATTCATACGGATGTTTAATATTGACGAAGATGGCAATTAATTACCTTGCGTTTTCAAGTCACCATTTTTTAAAGAAATGAAAAGGGCATTACACAGAAAGAATCAAATTATATAAATGAGTTAATCTCATTCAAAAGACGGTTTCCAAACAGAGAAAGCAGAGAAATTACTGCAGAAGAGACAGCTCGTCTAAACGAGAAAATGACTGTTCTCGTCGAAATTCAAATTAGTCTCTTTTTTTCTGTTCGACTAGATTTGTTTTTTAAATGGCGCTACAATCTGCCCCGATTTCGTACTTTTCGTTCGCGTTGAAAATTATGGGGTTGGACGAACTTACATATTAAATCAAACAATATCCATGGAAAGAGAACATTCAATAGTCTTCAGCCACAGCAAGAAGACTTAATTTTTCAATGAATATTCATTGCTGATAATTATAAAGTGTTATTGTTTCCACGTTGTCATTTGAAAAACTGCTCTGTAATGCATTGTAGTTCTAACGACAATTTTCTATTTATCAAAGCAATTTGCCTTTAGCTTCTTCGATAAAAGAACATTTTGAAAATGATTTTTTGATCTACTGAAAACAATTACAACTTCAAGATGGACAATAAGGGTCCTTAATTTTCCATCAAGAAAACATCTCACCTGATTCCTCGGATTGTAAGACGTCAGGTAGTTACTGGCGATTATTCTCAGTCTGTTAGCATGAGCGAACTATATTCATCGTTCACAATCGTCTCATCCCAAAGCACGAACTTATTTTCTCCGTCGTAAACTCAAAGGAGAAGTGAGTGATCCTGTAGTTGGGACAGCAGGACAAGAAACGACTGCAAGAGTTGTTGTTTTGTTTACGCAGTTACTGTCCCGTTGTTGTAATTCACTCCGGTACTGGCTCTCGACTACAAAACCACCATGCGCCCGAATGACGACAATTCACCGCGTCTTTGCGGGGCCGGCGTGTAATCATGTCGTGCGTCCCGTCGGGACCCAGTGCATCCTGCGCCAGAGAGGATGTGCAAAAGAAAAAGAAGAAAAATCTCTCCGGCCGTAAACGGGAGATACTTTCGCCTGGTTGCCTTGGCGACGGCCCTCCGCGCGTGCCAATTAGCATAATAGGGATGAGCCGAGGATTTGGAGGGATGCAAATGCCTGCTAATGGACTGCTACAGCGCTCTGAGCAAAAACAATCGGACCTGAGCTGAGCATGGTGTGTAATAATACCGGCCCAACTACTGATGAGGCGAGGAATAATCACTGTTAGAGACTCGAGGTGGCATTTGAATAAAGTGCCGGCATAGAAAAAAAGTAAGAGATGTATGCATGGATAGGACGGTAAAAATTAATGAGAAATGGCCGCTGAAATCGAAGCTCAACGTTGAAGTCATATTTTCAACATGTAAACAACTGCATCGTATTTCAATACAATCGAAAAGAGCTGGGGTGGTTGGACGGCTCTACGGTTCCCATCATGTTATCTGTTATTTTGTCATAGGTCAGATTGTAATGAAGAACGATCCTTGCACCTCTAAAGTTTGGACTTGTTATGAGGTTTTTAATTAAATGTTAATGTGAAACGGTCTACGTATGACGTGGCCGCATTTCAAAGCAATCCATTTTTCGAGCAATACATTTTGATTTATTTTATTGTTATACCATGTTAAGTCCATGTTGTTACTGAAGGTCACTCAATCGCCGTGCGGCGGGAGATGGTTGAGTGCCCCAGGTCATGCAAAGAGCAATCTATATTGCCTCTACTATCTGCTATACGATATCAGTCATCGGAGACGAAGATTTATGTAGGCCTACTCTGAATCTCCTAAAAGATATAAGAGCTTCTGTTTTTCTTAAACAAAAATTACAGCAACGACGATGTATGTAGCCTTTAAACAAGCGGGTAATCGACGAAGAAGCAAAAACCTGCCTTTTTTCGACCGCGGGTTTTCTTTAAGTTTCAGAAAATTAAGAGAGTGGATGCTTTAATGAAGACGAAATCCAGAGTGGATAAAAGCAAGTTTTGGGGTTTTGGTTTGTTTTCATTCTGTCTCAGAAACCAAAAAAGAACAAAAATCTAAATTTTAAGGCAGTGTAAAAGGGTTATGCATTATGATTGCGATGAATAACATTGCTAATTTTATTGGTTTTAATTGAGCTGCCAATTTTCGATCGGAAACGTTTTTCAGCGAATTCTTGGAGCGCATTTTGTCGGAGAAAATTCTTATCCAAATTTGTTTTCATGCGAAACATTTTGTTTGGAGGAGGAATAATATACATGTTTTTCTGACGTAACTTGAATCCGACAACTGAGACGCTCGCGAACGAAGTGAAATGGGGACGTGAGTGAACGTACGTGTAGCATGTCATCGTTTGCCTCAGAACAAACACAATTTACCCTGAAACATTGTCATTATTTGAAAAACAACTAGTGCATTTAGTGGGCGTAGGGCTCTTGAATTCATTTTAAGAAAAAACAATCGATCTTCAGATGGATGGATGATGTTTATCTACTTTGAGTAGATTTGAAAGATGAGGTTACTGTTTAAGGCCACACTATTCCTTTAATAATTGAGACAAAACCTTAGAGGTAACTTTCTTCCTTGATGTTGGTACAAGCAATTTCACAAAAGCCTAACAAACGAACTGTTTGATTTTCGTGATTTCTTGGCGATGCCGTGCGTGTGAGCGCTTGGTAACGTGCCTGACACGCACGGCATTCAAGAATGATCATTTTACCCTTTGGTGACAAACTACAGGCCAAAGTCCGTTGTCTCAATTTGTTGGATGGTTTGCCGCCTCGTCAAGAAATCACATCGTTTTTTCCCAATACTAGTGCCCTCGTCTCTCTGTGTACATACTATTTTAGTCATGGAGCCAAATAAATCAAGTATTTATCATAAAAAAACTATTTTATGGAGGCAGCCTGCATTACACCTGCTGATCTCTCTTTTTTGGAGCTGATCACTACTGAGGGCGGCAGATATGCAGTCTAGCTCTTGATAGGGTTGTCGCTCGTACCTAAAAAAAAAAGGGGGAGGTGTGGTACAAGCGAAAAAGCTTTGAATGTTGACAGTAGACTTGATAGCGCCCTCTGTTGATTGCAAGTGTTTTTGGTGGAAGTTAGGAAATTAAAGCGCCCTCTGTTGATTGACAAAAGTAAATTTTGGGTAAAGATCATGAATGCATGCTCCTTGTGTTTAGTTTTTAAGCAGTCCAAGGTTTCATATTGTCTCATTCAATAAACTCTTTTAATTAAACAATTTAACGATTTTTTAAATCAGTAATTAAAGTGATAAAAGAGTAAACCAAACGGTTCTTTTAGTGTCGCAAACATCTTTTTTTTTTTTCAATGTTGAAAGGGAGGTCAGTGCAGCAACCATTGGATTCTCGGGAGGGGTCAAAGGGGGAGGGACAAATTAAGAATTTTTTTTTAATGGAAAAATGCTTAATACTAGAAATCGCCGGAAAGGGGCCCCCAGACAAATAGCTATATACATTAATACGTCTATTATACAAGTTTTTAACAGAGCGTCGAACCACCCCCCCCCCTTCCCATTTTTTTTCTTTGAAAGCTGGTGATTTCTCGCAACGCTTTTGGTGAGCACTATGCCGCCCCACCTGTACTAGAAAATCCATCAAGAAAAATCCTTAAAATGTCCCTTCCTTAAAAATGGACAATACTTAGGGTATTTGGCAAGGCAACAACGAAAGGGTTCAGCTTGTATCAGATTTTCTGATTGTTATATTTTGGTGAAATCGAAGGAATTGGTGCGAAAGGCAGGAAACGGCCAGGGGACGAACACGCCCCCCCCCCCCCCATGTCATTTTAAATGCACTGATGGCACTGATGCGGGCTGTATATGGGTTATAGCGCCCTCTAATCACATTGAGCCGATGTAATCTGGCTCCCAGACTTTACCATCTTATCAAGATGCGTCTGATGATCGTCTCGCAGGGAACCAGACTAGAGCTGACCGTACGTGTGTGTAATTGTCACGCCCCAACTATCGCATCGGTCCCAACTATAGTTGGGCCTGTCCCAACTATAGTTGGGCCTGTCCCAACTGTAGTTCCACAGTTGGGCTGGCCCAACTATAGTTGGGCCTGTCCCAACTATAGTTGGGACAGGCCCAACTGTAAGTTCCATTGTTGGGCTGGCCCATCTATAGTTGGGCCACTCCGATCTTTTTATTTTGCGGTGTCCCAACTATAGTTTACATTGATGAACAACTGTAAAACGTTCCCTTCAGCTCTGATACACGTCTGACTTTACTGGGGACCACTGAAATTAGTTATTGATGGGGCGAATCTATAGTTGGGCCACTCCAATCTTTTTATTTTGCGGTCCCAACTATAGTGTACATTGTTGTACGATTATAAAACATTCCCTACAACTCTAATACACATCGGACTTTACTTGGGACCAATGAAATTATCTATGGGTGGGGACCATCTGTAGTTGGGCCACCGCAATATTTTTATTTGGCGGTCCCAACCATTGATCTCCATATACACAGACTGGATAGGACATCGCGTACGAACGTGCGTCCGCGCGCGCGTTTTTTGAAAAGGGTAAAGAACACAATTTCGCATTCGAGTTGTGTACACTTTCGAACGGAGGATTAAAAAAAGAAGTTGGGTTTTCTTCGGTTTCTTTGTCATTTTTGAAAGAATAAAAGAAACAGAGATCTAAATTGATCAAAATCGACGAGGAGTATAATCAAGGTGTGCGCAGCATTGGATTGCTGGAGTCGGCAAGTAAGGAGCGTTGAAGAATAGGACAATTATTCGCAAGTAAGTTGTTTTTTTAACGAGACCTATACAAGTCAACATGGCATGGAGGAATATGAACATGGGAATGACAAAGCAAATTATGTCGCTCTGAGTTTGAGGGGACGGTCCTGTGTGGTAGCTAGCGAGATATTCTGTTCAAATTCCATGCGATCTAGGCCTGTCATGAGTGCTCAGTGGTCGGCATCATTTTTCTTTAAAAGACATAGGCCTAAACGTGCATGTATGATTGACCCGGCAATGGCAATGAACAAAAGTTGACTTGTTTAAGATAGTTTATTCGAATAACTTTTATATGCAAAATCTGATTGAATTATGTCTGCCTTGGCTTAACGCCTACCGAAATGTTTCTATTCTTTTCTTTATAAAGAGAAACCGAGGAGATGGTTTATGCTAACTTACTGCACAACTGGCCGATTGACCTTCATATCAAACAAAGAACTTCAGCAAAGCCATATAGCAAAAACCACCAGCTGCAGGACCGAGCCGGACGAAAATGGAGAACTTCACGGAGGGATGGAATTGACTGTATCATCCACTGAATGGAACATGCGATGTGATAGGCATCTGAGCGTTTGACTTAATCAATTTTTACGATGTGGAACTGTTAACATTGATTGGTTTTGGTTTTGGAAAGAAGTTGTGGAGTTCAACGCAAGTATTTTTATAAGCTCCCAAGATGACTGTCACATTATTGACAGTTTGTATGGTGAAGAAAGCAATGAGTACTTTTACGGTTTGAAATTATGTTGTGTACGCCGTTATATAAGATTACTAGCTATAGCCATAAACACCGTCATATTCGCTCACAAAAACGATTCCCATTACACTTACAAGTAATTATATTTATTTTCAGAAGTATAGCTTAACATTTAATTGCAAGACCGTGCGTAGCTTGAATTATTCTCTGACAAAATTAGTATAGTACTATTTTGGTTTGTGATTCATCTCCTTTCACACAATATCACAAAGAGGTAAACGATGTCATTCCCTGATCAATCTAGGGACGGGAAGAAGTTTTTACTGATTACTTTGTAAAATTAAAGTTTTTTTACCTTTTAGATTGTAATTGGTTCATGTTCAGGTTTTTTAATAAATATATCAATCATTTGAATGAATCTCCATACAATTTCTCGTGTGAGTGTTCAGTTAAAAAATATGATGTCATTTCAGCATATTATTAATACAATTATTCATTTCGTTGATGGAGTAATTCAGTGTGCTCTAATGACCAATGTGCCAAAAATGAAATGGCAATTTACTTACAATCATTTTTGGGAGGAGAAGGGATTTAAAAAAAATAAGGGAAAAGGAAATGGGGGGTTCTTGAATTTCGAAAATGCATAATAAGAAAGTGTATATCAAGAAAGTGTGGAAAAGCTGTTTGGAGGGTAACTCTTCATCGTTCAGGGTTTTTTTTAAGATTGTTTTGGAGGAGCGCTTGAACTCCCTCCTGTAAGAAAAATTTCACTAAACAATCCATTTTCCAAAGTAAACAAAGTGAAAGCACAATGCGCGTTTACCCGTCTGACAGTAAACGCGCCGCCATTGTTCAGCCGCGCATTCGTGCACAAACACGGCGCGATGTCCTATCCAGTCTGTGTATATGGAGATCAATGGTCCCAACTATAGTTTACATTGATGTACGACGACTATAAAACATTCCCTTACAGCTCTGTTACATACTGTCCGACTTTACTTGGGACCTTTGACATTAGCTATGGGTGGGGCCCATCTATACTAGTTGGCCGGCCATGGCAATCTTTGAATTTTGCAAAATGTTGCTGGACAATCAACCCAGCAGCTGGACAACTCATCCAACTAGGCAGTACCACGTGACCGGCCAACCTTGCGGCATGCATGCACGACGAATACACGGTGCCAGCGCCGCGGAACATTTAATCCAACAAGATCTATCAAGCATGAAGCATCCGGTGCAACTCCAGTCCTAACTATAGTTGGGCCGACCCAACTGCCGCACTATAGTTGGGACAGTCCCAACTATAGTTGGGACCGATGCGATAGTTGGGGCGTGACATAATCGTTGCATTGTACGTCGTCCATTCGATTATTATCATCGCACGGTCGATACACAACGACAAAACATGAGGACTGTTCCGTTTACATGGTTAATGACGGCCAGTCGGTCGTGTAAAGTCACACTCTGGTCATGGTGAAGTGTCAGGATTACATATTTTGATGGTATTCTTTGTCCAAGATCGGCGTGACTTTGTGTTGGTTACAGGAGAGTCCGGCCAGTGCTAGCCTACGTCAGGCCGGCTGGATCGCCCGCAGGGGTCACCGACTGTCTGGCCGGAGGTACGGCTCTTGTAGAGCGCTCAGACGGGGGGACTCATGGGCCCAAGAACGCGGAAATTCTGGCTTGTCTTCTGCTCTGTTTTTGCTACGTTTTCTTTCTTTGCTGTGCTTAACCGTACAGGTGAGTTAGTAATACTAACACTGGTAGGGTATTTTTCTTTCCCTAATTTTGTAATTTAGTCTTCATTTGTCACTTAAGTTAAGGTTGTAGTTGTACTATAAACGAAACGGTTGTAACTATCATGACATAGGATTTCTGTAGCTTATTATTATATTATGTATGATGTACCAGTACTAGGATTAGAATAAGTAGTCCCAAAGACGGGGGCATTTCTCACCATGTTCACCCTTTTAGTATTACAGTACACGCATACACTTCCTCCATGGTATATCCTATGTATGGTGTAACGTTATTCCAGGAAATGAAGTTAAGGCATACGCCTACATGTATAACCGGGCCAGTACATGGGATGGCCATGACAGAAAGATCGTACTGTTCATAGTCTGGACAGCATTGAGATGCATGTGAAATGTGAAATTCACAGCCAATAAAATATTTAATAAAAACAAGTAAGTATGTGCTGCATTGTATTGTTTGGTACAATGTACGTAACACAAAAATCATTGGGTTGGCTACCTATTCGCGAGTATTGTTAACATTCTTGTAATAAAATATTAAGACTTCATTTAATGGTCAGGAGGGCCTATATTGTGAAAGAAAAATATTGTTACAAAAAAGTTGTCAAAGAAAACATATAAATAAATTCAAAATAAAAGAAAATCGTGGTGCAGCTACAGTGATAGCTGACAAGTTGACAACATTCTCTTTTATTATTCCTGTATTGTCATTATAAGATCTATTTTCCGTAACATTGTGTCATGAGTTTTGTTTTGAAGTTTTTTTCTCCAAAGGGAGGAAGGATTTTTTGTTCAGTCCACATTCGTTACATTTTCAGAATATGATTATTCACGCATCCATGGGTACATATTGTCATGTGAAAAAGGCTGACACTCTGTTTGTTTTACGCTTTTAGTTTCAACCAAGCTTTTGAAGTTTGCTGAGTTTCACTTGCCCATTGAAAAGTCTCCAAAATATTTTCTCCTTTGAACCATCACAATCCAGGGTATCTAATAGGCTCTAAAACTGTTAATTTTTGATCAAATAAATTCTTAAAATAAATGTTTTCAGTTTAAAAAAAATTACATTATCAAATTCATGCCTTTGTTTGCGTAAAATTGATGTTTATTAGTTATAAAGAAAATCCACTCTACCTATCAAAATTGCTTGAAACCTCTTCAAATGTTAATTTTTGAGGCAGACAGGCTAGAGGGATGCGACTTACTCCCATTTTCTGAAATTTAGTATGTCCCGATGGTTAAATATTAATAATAATAATAAATAAATTGCAAAGAAAGAGTGACAAGACATGCTTTGTTACATTTCATGTATCCCCTCGTGAATCCATAAAACCATACAGAGCCTGGATGGTTCAGGGCAGTAGAGGGAGTAACGCTATTAACAGGCGGGGTAGTTTGGGGGCTTTGGGCTATAATTTGTCATTAGAGTAGTATGTAGAGTAGAGATTAGATAAATGACTACTTTTATGTGACACGCCAACTGGTGTAATTATATGAACATTGAACAAGTACATGACATTTTCCATAGTGTTGTACCTCGCCCTGTTTCAATGATAGTTCATATACAGTGAATGTATGTTGGACAAATATTAAGCTTAAATGTCTTTTATTATATATATTTTTTGAACAGAAATACTGAATAGTATTATGGTGTCAGTTGTGCACCTCTCAATGATACCAACTTGGTTCAGTGAATTTCAGAGCATGATTACACAAAGTATGATTTCAGAAATTATACAAAACTTCAAACATTCTTGTTCGTCTTGTAATCCATTGAACTGATTTTGTGTTCTTTTCACATTGTTTTTTTGACCATAATGCCTTCGTAGTTTTTGTTAATGTTAGGAAGGCTCATGAATCCTTCAAAAAGGTGCACTTTAAACAAATAGCATAGTCTTTGTACATTACATCAAATAAAATTAGTGGACTAGCAGAACAGCCCTAAATCTATCAGAAAACTGTTTAAAAAAGGCAACATAGTAATGGAGCAACAAGATACAGTGGTTACAGTATACATACATGCACGTGTACATATTCAATTCATGTCTTTGTACATGTACTTGTGTCTTTAAGCAAGATACTTTACAATAATTGGTGCCATTATTTCAGGGTGTTTGACAAGTCCCATGAATGGAACATTTGTTAATTCATTGTCGATTACAGCCAAGAGATGTCATTTGTTGAAAACAGATCTACGGTCTCGGGCAGGCTATCTTCTGTAAATAGTGTAAACGTACACGTTTACATTTAATTCATTGTTGATTACAGCCCAGGCAATTTATCATTTGGACGAGTGTATTCAAATTCACCTAGCAGCATATACAAGTAATTTCCTTCTGTTGTCATTTGACAGATGATAATGATGTGTATGAGTACACTGCCAAGCTACAGGAGCTGCAGGTACGTATACGCAACACAGAGCTGCAGAGTGACACGCGGAAAGCCGAAGTCAGGCACCTCCAAAGAGAAATCCAGAAGATACGAGAGGAAGTAGCACGAGGGAACATCTCCAACCAGTTCTTACAGTCTGAGGCAAGCCACGAGACTTTAGCAAGTAAGAATAGACATTTTGGGATCACTTCAACAAAACTGTGTAACTGACTCGAAAGTTTTTAGGTTGAATTTGTGAAGTCGACATTAGTTATTCAACCAAAAATGGCCATGGTCTTGTCGGCAGGGCCCCGCTTCAGGCAGCTTCTATTCTAAACCGAATCAAACTCAAATAATTTACTTTCACACTCAGATAAACCAAATCAAGCAGAAATTATCCATGATAAGATACTTTAATATTCTAAAGGATTGGCCAACGATGCACTATGGAAAAAGTGGTGTAATTCATTCAAAGTTATAATTGCGAGATAATTACCGTCTGTTTCGGCTCAGGAAATTATCAGCATTCCAGACTCCAACCAGTCTTGAACATAGTGTTTAACACCTCCCAAACACACATTTATTCCCTTATTATGGGTATAGCAAGTTATGCAAAAGTATCATGTATGTTGTCAAATAGTCAAACCTGTCATTAATTTGCCACCTCACTGATTACTTTACGTTGCGTGAAGGTTGTTGCTAATTTTGCCATAATTACACTTTATTTTCCCCCGGCAGAACTCCGCTCGCAGCTTTTACAAGGGCAGAACGATGGCAATTGGAGTATGATGCACTTGCCGTCAATTCTTCAGTACATGCCTCATTTAATTGGCAAGCCGGACAGTCTCCAGCCCGCGTTCCATCTATCCAAAGGTGTCACACAAGGTGATTGCACTTTTCTCTTGCTTTATTAAATGTATACCCCTGCTGATTGTTGACGTTGAGCCATTGATGATATCTACATGCATGTATATCATACTTTGAGTGTCCCGTTGGTTACAACAATGTTCCATATGGGTTACAGAGAGTGCTGTGCTTACAAATTGGGGCCCAATTTCATTACTCTGCTTACTGTTAGTAAAAAATGCATGCATACTGTAGCAGAAAATTCCGTGCTTACGCTAAGCGTATTTCACAGGTTAGCAAGGAATTTTGGCTTCTGCGCATGCGTATATCCCGTAACTAAGGATTCTGTGCTTACAGGGTTAGCACAGAATTTTTCTGCTAATGCGGTTAGCACAAAATGGTAATCATAAGCATGGAATTCTGTGGTGAGCAGAGCCTAGAAATTGGGCCCAGATCAGCCCAATGAGTAGACTGGTTCCTATCCAATATTATGGATTCTAAAAGGGGGAAGGAACCAGTCTACCATGCGAGAACTGAATTATTGACTGGCCACAAGTGCATGTGTTACTCAAAATTTGTTAAATAAAAGACCCCCCCCCCCCCGAGCTCCTAGGCAGAATTCTGAATTCCAGTATTATGCAACAATGGAAATCTCCAGTCTTTGTGTGCACAAGCAGTGTGTCAATATGCATTAAGATTTACACACCTTTGTTCACATTTAGTCATTTTCAAATAAACCACGAAGGGAAACTGACTAGGTGCTTTACAGTAAGTTGAACAAGGAAATTGACTGGAGCAGCCAGGGTATGAACCAGAGACCCTCGGATTACCAACTGAGCTATCCATTTCCCGTGCAAGGTCGGTCATCCAGAGATTACTGGTTCAAACACCACTGCAGTCAATTTTGTTTTGTTCAACTTTAAAAAAAATTAAGTTTGAGTAGTTGACACAACTCCTCTGGTAAATGTCAAGTAGATAATACAATTCTGAAAAGAAAAAAAAACTAAGTTGGTTGCGCAAATCCAACTTTGTATCCACAATATTATACAATGTACATTATGGGAAAGCCAACACCTGGAATTTGGCCTGTGACTGATGGCTTTTTTAATATTGATGAGGATTCTCGTACTGAATGCAGTGTGATACCAAATGTTACTATCGATAGACAGATGATTAACTAGTCAACAATATATGCAGTAAGTCAACCGTGAAGTTGATAACCAGCCACATCAAGGCACACGCTTGAATGCACACTGCATTGTGAATGCCATTTATTGGCACCCTTGGTGCTTTATTGGCTCCTTATCAGGGAGCAGTTGCTGCACAGTCTTCCTAGCGTGGCTGGGGTCACAAGCTCACTATTTATGTAGCATCTGCAAAATTTTCAAGTTTTGTGACAGATAGCAGTCAAACATTATTCATGATGATCTCTTGTCTTTTCTTGTATCGAAGAGGCCATTCCATTGATACTTACATGTAATGTCTGTGATGGAGCCTTTTAAGAATTCAGTGACTAAACCTGCAAATGTATTTTTCACATCTTAATACATCCATAATCTTTTAATGGTCCTGGAGATCACAGACCAAGAGTGTTCCAATCATTTCTCTGAATCATTAATTAGATATCAAGGTTAACTGGCTCTGTCACGGACATTGCACTTCCTTTCATAACGCTGGAGTTGCCCGTAGAGGATGTAATAAATCGAAGTGAAATATTAACCGATTCCATCTCTCTTTTTAACTGTATTTTTTTTTCTTCGTACATATTGCTGCCACCTCGAGTGGCCTTTGGGTTTGTAGTTGGAGAATTTCCTTTACTAGAAATGTTGATTGTCCACAATGGACAATACTACTGGCTTTTCTGCAAAGTTTTGAATTTTTGAAGGAAGTCCTAACAATTAATTTTATTCCTAAATAATGCAAACCACTGTTAAGAAAAATTTAAAATTGAACCAAGGAATACTTCTGTAAGTAAAACAAATTCATAAAAATTAATTGATGACGCCATCATGACGTCATTCCATATTATGCATACTATTCACATAATGTACATGTACATGTAACAACCAAATTTTAAGATGATCGAATACATTGCCTTATATGTGCGTTAAAAGAACTGTACATTATCCACTTTTAAGATGACATCACGTGACCCACGATGACGTTATCATGATGTCAGAGTAATATGCAGGAGTTCAGTACAGGGTCTCAGTCTGTGCAAAGTTTCATTAAGTTAGTGAAGTCTGTTTAAATTCAGTGACCCCGAAAATGAAACATGTACAAAGAAGAAGGAACAAAAAGCCAAAAAAACAAAAACAATGGCTTTTCCGCAATGCAATGGGATCAGAAGAAAAACAATGGCTTTTCTGCACATTGCAGAAAAGCTAAAAAGAGAAGAAACTTACTGACAATTTACATAAGCTACAGAATGATGGCATGGTATGCTGTTCAGATTGAAACACATGCACCAAAGGCAATGTTTTTGGTTTTGTTTGTTTATTTGTTTTTTCTTCCATGATATTCATAAATACCTGAGAAAGTTTACCCATTCTTGTAAGTTGAGAGCCCGTCACATTGGTGGTTTAAACTGACATTTAAAACACTGCTGCGTTCTGCGCCACATTGCGCCGTAAGCGCCACGCACGTGCCAATCTCCATATAAGGAGATTTTTTAGTAATGCGCGCAAGGCAAATGCCATACATGGCCAGACGGGTGTTTCACAAAACATGAAGTAAAATTGTTGAACAAAATCATTGGAATTTTGTCAATCTTTGACTTACATTGTATTTTGACTTTTTGATCGAAAAGGTATATTGTATGAATGGGAATAAATATGTGCAATAAACAAATGTATACGTTTAAAACTAGTTAGGGGCCTGGTTTCGGATAATGGCCCGAGCGTATGGGGTTTTTTTTGGGGGGGGGGGAGGGGGTAATTGAAATTATACTCTGAAATTGCCTTCATTTTCATTTTTCATAAAGAAGGTGACTTTAAGTGTATGAAACATCACACCTGCACACCTACAAAATGTATGTGTACAAACATGTCGCACTTATGCTGGTACATGCATCCACAGTAGCTAAAATACTGATACTCCAGTCATCAATGTCTTTGCCATCTACGTCTTGTACATATCTAGTAATTAGAGGCAAGGTCACCAAGGCCAGTTTTCATTTGGTTCCATGGTCATCTTATTACAGATTTGTACCAGTAAATTTCCATCCTAATGAAGCATGAAGCATGGCCATATTGATTCAATCAGAATCTGCAGGGACGATTTGATTGTGAAAACATTTGTGTATGAAAATGCTCGAGGTTATACACATGTATGCACTGTAATTCACCAGTTCAACGACGCCCAACAGTGTGCAGTTTCATATTGACTGTGGTTACTCTTTGCAGTAAACAAAAGACTGGTTTTCTGTTATGTGCAGTAAATATCTAGGCTTCTTGTCTTCATCTTACTCATCTTACTGTCGCTGTTGGTTTCAGCAAGCTACCCTACATGTGCACAAGTATTGAAATTAGTCATTGCATTCACAAATGTTATGTGTTTCACCACAGCGCACTTTTTGTATTCCCAACTATCTTACAGTCTTAACCACTGCCAAATTTTGAAATCTCTCTCAGTGATTAAATAAGTTGGTCATTCCATAAATTTGGGGATTGCGCATTAGAATAGAATTTAATATGTTCGTTATAGCCAAGTGTTCGTTATAATGGATGGTGTTCGTTAAAGCGACGTTGTACTGTAGAAGGCATCTAGTGAGTGTTAAGAGATAGGGTATCCCGCGATGTGTCATGCCATATTGGCAATTCTAATTTGGCCACACTGCTTGCATATTCCCATTAGACTGTGCCGTCAAGCGATGATTGTTATTTATTGCAGTGAGGACCATTTGTAATTCCTAATTTTCGATAGGCACTCAAGTGAAACCCGCGCTCCTTATATCGACCCTTGATAAGACAACATCAATTATTCAGTCGCCTCCTCATACTTGGCCAAGTCCATTGGCGGGTTCGACACCTGGATGGGCGACACAAGTTTCGGAATCATCACCCTTCTGTTTGCATTGCTGAAAGAAGGAATTGCGCGCCGGATGGAAGGAGAAGAAAAGGTGGTAAAGTTGCCGGTGATATAGCGTCTTTATGATTAATTGCTCTAGCACTAACCTGGCTGTATTGGCATACCCATCTGCACATGTGTCTCCGCAGTACATGCAAATATCCAATGTTTAGTTTTGTCTGTATGGTCATTATTTGAAATCTTGTTAATATTTTTGGCTCTGTATAGCTCTTCATTCTGGTCAGTCAACAGAATAATGAGGGGCTGCTTGATTGCAAAACCACTCAGTTTCGCTCTCGCTCACTTTTATAGTAAATTTCAGCATTGGTCTTTGGAGTGTTTCATGTAATGATGAAGCACCTGGCAAGCATCAATACTGGTGGATATGTGTGCTTTATAAATTAATACATATTGCTGGTAGTTTCCCAACTTGAAAGGGAAACATTTCCATCTCTGATAATTAAGCATTCTTTTCATGCATGGCAAGACAACTTTGAAATAAATGTCAGATACATGTAAAGTTAATTTAAAACCATTCATGTTCAAAGTACATGTATGTGTACATTTATAGGCTACATGTGTACAGTATACATGTACATAACCCAACAAGACTTTGTTTAAAGCTATAGTCCATCATTTGCAGCTATCCGAAAAGTACTGGCGTAATTATTGTTGAAAAACAAACTTGGTTGAAAGATAGTAAGGGAACTAAACTCCCTGTGAAATTATTCCTTCTGGGAAGCTGTCAATTTGAAGTAATCAACGAAAGAAGGCATTTCCAACGGTGATTCTTAAGAAGCACCGTAGGAAAATTTAAATTAGTAGTTCGTTTTGTTATTCAGCGCAGTGCGCACAAGTATTGGAACGACGCACACGCGCGCGCGGTTGTTATAATTCGTCGGATCAGTGCGCTACGTCGCGTATGGCTGCAATTCAAAACAATTCAAAACATGATTCAGTAACTTTTGATTTGAAATTGAGATCTTAGAATGCTGTTTTTCTCGATATGTACAGCTGAAGCTTAGCTGAAACTTCATCAGGTTAGTTGTTCAGTATCCTTCATTAGATTTTGAACCCTTTTGTTGCTTCAAACGAACAAAATGATGGAGTATACCTTTAATGACGTGCCCAGCTTACATGTACGGGTATCCACACTCCTCCACACTGATATTCTCTGTGGAGATGCAACATATTAATTTCCCCAAACCTCTGGGACAAGCTGATATTGAAATATTATTTCTGGAACTTACAAATGTCCAAACTCGATACAAGCTCCAGGCGACCCATATAAGTATCGTATGGCAGTGGCTCAAATTTCAGCATTTGAATTGTCCAGAGTATAATATTGAGAAATGAAAACCTTGCACAAGTTTCAAAGTCTGTATGTCGTTTCCCGGGCATCACATCTGGCAGTGTTCGCCAATTCCGGTAGTACTCATCAACAGATCCTGCTGATAAATATTCATTCTTTTTCTGTGTGTGAATGCCTTGCATTCTTTAGTCAATCAATCATCATCTGATTCAGATAAATGCGTTAAAAGAAAACACAGATTGCTCTACTACTTTTCTCAACTCAAGATTGACTAAGGAAATGGAATTTAAACCACTCTCATACATACACCCAGTGGGATTACCGCCAGGTTCAAGCAACTTCACACAGACAAACTGAGGAATATTTCTGTCAATTTTTTTTCTTTTCTACGTTGTTCAGGTTTGTATTGGAATTGTTTGCAGTGTGTACATGTACATGTACATAGAGACAGACTTCAGAAAACTGGCATAGGGTGTTCCCACAAGACAATAGATATATTTTTTATTGGTCAGATATTAAATGTGTAGGTGTACATGGATGTGTACCATTATGTAAAGGTTGCAGAAAATTCAGGGCATTGTACACGTATTCGCCCAGATAAAGAGAGGCTCCGTTTCTGTTGTATGAATGTTGGTGACAGAATGATTATATCGAGTTTGAAATGAAATTGATGGCACACTTAACGGTTGATTGTGCACGTTCGGCATGAATGCGACAGGCTTTTGTAGTGTGATTCGTCAGTCTTCAGTGTCATGGTTAATTGATCATTTATGAGTTTCTGTTAGCGTTTGCTACATGGCTGGTTCCGGCACGGACTGATCGAATCCCCCTGTGAGGTTGCTGAGTTGTACTCATTATAGTGGGACTTGGGAGCGTCGTTGATGTCGTTTCCAGTCTTGCCATGCTGAGGACGATCCGAGATTACTGAGTCACGATTCCAATTTAGATTTTGACGTCAAGAAGGCTGTGAAATTAATCAAAACAATGAAATTAAGGATGCATTAAAGTACAAACATATGAAAGTAGGACATAAATTACTCTTTTTAACCCTAACTCCCTACTGTCTTTTACTAAGTACTGGACCAAGTCCACCAAAATCCATCAATCTCACTACCTCCAATGCATGCTTTAGGCCTCCAGGCCCAAGTCCATGCATCATACGTAAACTATCAATATTTAGTCAGACCAGGCCTGCTTGATTGACCAAGTCCCCCAAAATCCAGCAAAATTGATTGATTTTGATGCAGTTGGGGAGGTTAGGGTTAATATTTCATTGTGCCGGATGGAGTCTTAATATATTTTGAACTGGAACTAAATTTCAGTTTTAGAAGCTTCAACAGTTGATAAAAATGTGCAAAGCTAAAGATGTTCGAAGTGCATTCATTACTATTACTTGTGAATCGAGGGAAATACAAGTACAGTCAAATCAGTTAACACGTACTGTGTACACAGGTCCATATTTTGATACAGTTGTTGTTTTGTCCTCTCATTGACCCTCAATAGCGTCCATGGTCTGCACCTATACAGTGAATATGTATACTACATGTATACATGTGTGCTTTTGTTTTGTCCGTTAGTTTGCATTTAAATTCAATACATCCATTATGTCAGTTTGTCTATGTGTGAGAAGCACACATTTGAACATAATAAGTCTGCAGCATTAAGAAGACTTTTTATCTGTTAATGGTGTTGGATTCTATTGGGAAAGGTTCAGATTTTGGAATTCAGATCAAAATTCACTTTTCCTTGAAATCTTTCTTAAGACATGTGTGACTTAAGAAGAACTTTATCTTGAATGAAAGCATAATCTAGATCATTTTCATTTCTGGGTGTATACATGTACATGTACGTACACATTCTTTTAGTGGATGTGATATAGTTTCATCCAGTTTTCATCATAGCCAGCTGTACAGTCATAGAATTGTCATACCACCTGCTTGCACATTTGTGACCGGCTCTATAAAAAAGGGTATTAAGTCGCCCTTAGCATTATTGTGTAATGGCCTGCTCAACATTGAGAGGGTGAAAATTTTGTCAAAATGTGATTTTCATTTTATGTCATGAATGGCATATTTAATACCTACAGTTTTAGGTTTCATTCACAGAAATGTTGATTTTGATAACAAAGTGGAAAAAACAACCATTTTATGGGCATCATTCTAATGTTCTACAACAAAGCCCGCTATTTCAAAGCCTGTTTTCTCAGTTGTGCAATTTGAACTCTGAGGAAGTAATTAATATGCAAATACATCATATCTCCAGAACAGGAGGGGCTATGGCGCTCTAGTATATACCAAATAAAAGCTTACGTTGTGGGCTTTCTAACCATGTATATAACTCCATTTCACTTTTTTGCAACATAATACCCTTTTTTGTGGAGCCGGTCACATTTAATGTCATTACCTGCTCATCCCAACTGGCACGTCCAACATTATTCATATGATTCCCCTACATGTTAACGGTACATTGTATTTAGTTTCCAGCTGCATTCAAAAGATTGACTCTGTTAATCCTATCACAGTAACAGCTATGCAGCACCATTTATTGATTTATCATGAGGTTACTTGTGTTGTAAGTCCCAAGCAAGTTATAACTTCGTGGGAAGATGAAATACCTAGTCAGTAACTATGTACATGTAGCCTTCCCTCCAGTCACAAGTTCTACTGAACTCTGAAAAGGAAGGTTTTTTTATTCTGTGGGAGGATGTTCTGAAAAGTGATCAGAGTTTTACCCATTATATTTGACACCTCATATCTCTAAAAACACATAGTTACTGTAGTACAAACAGTGTATGGACATGCTCGCTGTTGTCCTAATTTACTGATAAAGAAAAGCTATGCGCAATGTACATATTGAATATTACATGTTAATGTACATTGACAGAATTTGTTGTACAATATACTATCACATACTCAGTTATGTTAAAAGCCTAACCCCCTAGTAGTTCCCCAAGACTACCCTGCTAAATCCAACAGAGTCCGACAGTTACTCATATGAGTTTCCTGCTCAATCCAACTTTCCCACACAATCCAACTTGCCAAGTTGTTGGGTGCCTGAACATATAAAATGACTGGCATGCTCAATCCAACAGAATCCAACTGTTCCTCATTTTTCTGATGTGTGCTGGATCCAAATATAGAAAAAAAAAGATAGCATCAACTTTTAGTGGCAAACAGATGTTTGTGTCTAGAAACCTGGCTATTATATTGATTTTTTCTTATTGCTATTCAGAAAGCTTAAAGCCATTATTGTCGCGTGTATTGATATTACCACGCATGATTTGCGATGACAAATTGTCCTTTTAATTTGACCTTTTATTGTGCAGTTTCCATGGTGATTGGTGTGCCGACCATCAAGCGAGATGTGGAGAGCTATTTGATGGAGACACTGTCCTCGCTGGTCGCAGGCTTGTCGCCGGAGGAGAAAATAGACTGTTTAATTGTGGTCTTAATTGCAGAGGTATGGACATGTAGAAACAGCCATGGCCAGGGTAGACCTGGATCCAATTGACTGATTCATTAAAGTCCCACCACTATGCATACAGGCAACAAGTGGGCCTGTCTCAAGCAGAAAAGCATTTCCAGACTCGCGTGTTGCATGCATACATGTGCATGTCTGTTGGATTTTTCTGCACGCATGTGGGACATTAATCAACCATTATGATTGGTCCAAACATCGTGGGGCGGATATTTCATAGAGAAGCTGGGAGCAAGCTAGGGCGAGGACCATTAGCCGACTAGTGGTTGTTTCGTAACGTAACTCACGCCTGCGCACAGATAGCAGTAGACATCCCAGTTCAGAGATACAGCTAATTAAATGAAAGGACTTGAATTCAAACCTTGGCCACTTTTCAGATTATCTGGTTTCTAACGAAAGGCATTCACATACCAAGAAGGTGTGTGAATGCCTTTCATTAGATACCAGATCATCTGAAAAGTGGCTCAAACAGATTTTGACAGTCTTTACAAGCTTTGCCGTAACTTTTTAAACAAAATGTCAAAATCACACAAAGCAAAAATCCTTTCAAGGGCAAAGAAACACTCTATCATCTCATGGTGTTTTATTTTTACAAGCAAAACCGATTCTGTTGCCTCAGAAAAAAAAAAGTTTGACTGCTACAATTTTTTTGGGGAGACACGCTGAATGTTTAACTTTTGAATCACCTGGCCATAAAAGCTAAGGTCGGGTTACTCTTTCATCATGATTTTTTTTTACAGTTGAAGTGCATTCTCTCATCTCGTTAAATTAAAGTGATTCTTAAGTCAAGCACAAGTCATGGAGTCCCTAGTCACTTGACAAGCTATTCAAATGAACTGTGACAATTGCATTCTCTTGTTGTTATCCATGACCTGTTAGCTTATGACCTGACTTATGATTTGACATATGACTTGTGATTAACTTGTGACACACTTGACTGCAAGTCTGTGACTGTATGCTCACCTTATGACCCACCCAGTCCATCAACGCGGTAATCAGTTGTCTTTCGCTTTCCTCAAGCGATTTTGTAGGAATAATTTCCTACCTTACGATGTATACTGCCACCTCTTCTTCTTTTCAGGTGGATATAGACTTTGTACGGAAGCAAGCTTCTCTTATTCAAAGCAAGTAAGTTGGAAACTAAATAACCATGAACAGTGTTTATGTCCTTTGAAACTAACAAAAGAAAGGCATGTCATGTCAGCCATGAAACTGTGCAGCAATTAAAATATGTCATCAATTTTTTTGTTCTAGGGAAAACAAAAGGAAGGGTTGCACATCAATAACAAAAAGAAAAGGGAAGAGTGCCCAATACTTTTTCGCCTAGTATAGAATTATTTCTACTTCCTTTTATTTTAGTGGAGCCGTTGATTTTATGCATTCGCTGGTTCAATGTGTTCTTCGATTTAAATAGTCTCTGATGCAACTTCCAAATCTTTTATTAACTTGATTCAAATTTAATGGCAAATTGAAACCGGTTCCGGAAGTTCTGAATAGAAGCAGGACACACCCACATGTTTGGCATTAATTCAATTGAGATGGGTAAACACATATGTTAATTTCATATGATATAAGTACACACGTAGGAGAGCTTTGCAAACAACTACACCTGTTTTATTATTTTGATAACGTAGCACGGTTGCATACTTTTGTTTCAGTTTCCAGCCCGAGTTGGATTCTGGACTCCTTGAGGTTATCTCGCCCCGACCTGATTACTACCCTGACCTGAATGCCGTCCGGGAAACGTTTGGGGACACTCAGGATAGAGTCAAGTAAGTATAGCAGTGGAGGATCTATAGGGGGGATTAGGGTGTTTAAACCCCTCTCCCCCCCCCCCCCCTAGGCTGTAAAAAAGGGAAAATCATACAGAAAAACATAGCAAATACCTGCGAAATACTCCTCTTGGCAGCCAATCCCCCTCTTGATCCAAACTTTGTCCCCCCTGTATAGAAACATGATACCTGTAAATATGCTCCAAGAACTTGTTTTTTTTCTGTAGTACTTCATTTTTTTGGGTCTGTTCATGTGTCTGATACATGGAGCTATATTGAATGACTAAAGCACTCATTCCCCATGCCCTCAATGCTATCGGATGTGTTCTGGGTGCAGACATTTTGAATGAATGTGCATGATTGTAGAACATATTGAAATAAGATGGAATGGAATTCCACGTGTGAGCTCAACAAATGTGGCAGCATAGGCAAAGTCTGAACAGAATACATCATTATATACACATGTATAAAAATCATTGGAAGTGCGTATGCACACCTGTGCATTTGCACCGAGCCTTGAAATGAAATGCTCATTGACTACATGTGCATGTGGGTTTTGGGCGTATTGGCTTCACTTAAACATACATTTCAAAAACAAATGCAGATATGCAAATAGCTGTTGAAAAGCCATACAAATTATTGACCACACCATAGGTTTGTACACAGACATGGATGCACCCAGCAGGCTACATTGTGTACAGTGAGGTAGCTCTCTAGTAACTGAATACAGCTCTACAGTCTGAAATTACTCTGAGTCGCCCATAAGCAGACTGCAGGACTACCCTACATTAACCCCTCTTGACCCTGCTGGCCCTACTTGTATTGCCTGTCAGCACCCCCTTCATGTCAACAACTTAACCTAGACACAGGATCATTAGTTCCAATTGATTGTTCTTTATGAATCATTTCTTTCCACATACTGGAGCAAGTTTGTCTAAAGATGTCCTGTCAATTTTTTAGAGAATGTTGACAAACTCAACTGCCTTCATCCTCTTATCTGCAAAACAATGTCAAGTTTTTCACCTTCAAACTTAATTAATTTCTGAAGTTGATGATCCTTCTCGCCAGTTAACAGAATGAGGATTATGTTTCTGGTGGAGTTTCTCAAATTTCAGGGGGAAAAATAATTTCACCCAACTTTTAGGGGATGCAATAATACTTTGTTCTGAAAGTTAAAAAACAATTTAGCATACATCCTATAGCCCTCAGAAAACGTCAGAGCAAACACATTTTTTAAATGTTATGGTGAAAAGCCATCAAATGATGTCACATCCTGGTTCCTGTCACAGATTTCCTTTTTGATATACTCCAGTGTTCAGAGAAAAGAAAAATGTGTTGAATGATTTGAAAACAAATGTAGGATGGTCAGAGAGCAGCGGCCGATTTTAGGAAACTTTGCGCAATGGCATAACTCCACTTACGCTACATTTTATTGCACAAGATGCGCAACATTCAGACTGTGTAATTGTTCAGTTATGACACATTTCACGAAAATTGTAAAGTGCGTAAGTCTGTGACTGTGCACAGTGCGTAAGTCTGTGACTTTCACATTACATTTTTGTGTAACATATGCAGTCATTTTATGTGGTGTACATTATGGCTTAGCGATTGAACACTCACAGCTTTGTTTTTGAAGTATATGAATTACCGTTTTATCTGTGACAAAACTGTTAGAGATGCTGCACAAACTTGTTTCCAAAATGGCGGGCAGAGGTAATTCAACGACTGTGTCCTGATCGCACAGAAATCATACAGAAACAGATGTCATAAAAGCTGTTACTATCCTCATCCAATATGTTTGAATTATTTACAACGTTGCGCAGCTACGCCACGTTTCGTGAAATCGATTGAAAGTTTATTGCGCAGCTATGCAACAAATTTGTTGCGTAAAACCCACCCATGGCATAAGCTACACACTTTTTTATGAAATCGGCTACAGGGCCAAAGGCATTGGATTCCATTCTATGTCATTTGAAATTCAGTGATTTCAATGCCTGCTTGTTTACCATGTTGCATAATGCTCCTAGCTAACATACAGTATGCTAATCCTTTGTCACTCTGTAGCACATCAAATACTTTTTCTCAGTGTCGTTTGTTCAATTTAAACCCTCAGCCTTTATTTTTAAACCAGCCTATGTGGCAATGCTTCAGTACAGGCTTTCTGACACCATCATCTCGCGTACCCGTGTTGAAAGAAACATTGGTCCACCTTAATTGGAATCGGGTCCCTTGGGAACGGGTAGGCAAGGCATACCCTTCACACTTACAACGTGTGTACACGGGTGGGCTGTAGATGTGGGATTCTCTACCCATGGATGTAGAACCCCTCAACCCTGGTCCTGACCAGAGTTGGATGTTACCTGTGAAGTACGCCATACCTGTGTAAAAAGCCACGTTGGATTCTTGATAGTGTGAAAGAGGTTCCGGAAATCTCTGGAGTCTGTAAACAGTGTGAAAGGCCCTTATGTCTTTCAGTACTTTTGGCATACATTCCGGTAGATCAACATCACGCACTGAGTACATAGACTTTTTCTTTTGATGGTATTGCGTACATTTACCTTTGTGCTATACATATGTTGCTTTCTGACCTCATGTTGAACAGACAACAGACTTATATTATGTCTACAAAGTTTGAAGTTTGAAAAGAGCTTTGCCTTTGGCAGTATAATATACTGGTAGAACCAGTAGTGCACAAGCAGCCACTTCAGCCAAACAGCTGCCGCTGGATCAAACAGTCGTCAGAATACATGAATATTTTGATCTTTAGTCACAGTGACGTGATTGGATATATTATCTTGATTCGTGACCCAATGCAACAAATTGAGTCTGAAGTTGCCGGAGCTGCCTTGGTTATGCACACAAGCCCGCAACTATGAAATCATGCCCAATTGCAATTAATTGGATTTGTCAACGTTTTTCTCTGTAATGTATATTGAAATGAAGAGCAGAATATACTCTCTGCACTAGTGTTAATAAATCTGAACACGGATCTACATGTACATGCATACTAAGCTCATTTGCCCGGTATATTTTCATTTTAAATGTCATGCTCTGTAGGGAAGTTATGTCACAATGGCTGACCATTAAAAATAGACCTCAAAATAATTGTTAAGAGTCAGAGTTTGAAAGAACAATATTTTCAAAGCATTTGAAAAGATATATAAAGTATGATTTGTATACCATCATATTGTCACTTTGGCCTGTTTTATTCTATCATATTGCCATTTTTGCCTGTTGGCTTTGTCTTTGTTTGAGATAATAAATGCAGTTTCACTCTTTGTTTGTTGTACCCAGATGGAGAACGAAACAGAACTTGGACTTCTCATATCTTATGATGTATTCTCAGTCTAGAGGCAAATATTATGTTCAGGTAAGGAATGGAAAAGGAGTGGATACGTAAATATTATTTATATCAGGCTTCAAAGTAGTCAAAATAAACCAGCGTATTGTTTACTTTCGGAACAAGTACCTGGATGACCATACAATATTGTTTTTGATATTGTATAGTCATCCGGGCATTTTTTGGTATCGACGTGCCTTTTGCTGGTTCCCACTGAATCAAGAGCGTAGAAACTGACAGTTGTCAATCAGTCAACAGCATAGCACGTGGTATAGGCGCAGGCAGCAGGGGATACACACTGTTATCAACAACCAAAAATGGCAGCTTCGAGTGGCGCGAGATTTGCTTCGGTAAGAATAATTCAACGAATTTGAGAAATAAAGACAGTGAAAATATCTCACAAGCAACCAAGATGACAGTAAATATTCTGCGTTAATGTGAAAGTGAGGTAGGCAGATGTCAATTATTACAAGACAATATAAAATTTGTTTCTTTCTGATCAAGTCAGCCTGACATAAATAATAATATATGACAGCTTTTTATCCTCGGGGGATATACATGTACATTGCACTCACTATAACAATACTGCCTTCGCCTTCCACTCTTGCAATATTTTTATAGCTCGTGCACTATATTCTTGTATCCACCTGAAAGCCATGCAATATTATATAATTATTTATATTATGTAATTATGGATATGTAATTAATTTAAGTCTGTCATAAGCAAAATTGGGACAAATTTACTCAAGTGATTTCTAAAAGTTATTGTGGTTCACAGACAGAAATAAGAGTAGAGTTGATGTGGCCGGTATATGTTTGTCACATTGCACTCCCATCTGGTAACTTGTCTGTGGATCGTTGATTGCTTATATCCTGGGTTTTTTTTTATATGGTTTCACAGGACAAACCAGAAATCAAATTGGAAACCATTTGTTTGGGTGTATAGGTCACAATTTGAATGGAAATGAAGTAAATTACTTTTTTGGCACTTCCGTTTCCTTGTTTTTCAACATGACTATTTATATTTATTTAATTTTAAAAAAAATAGGTTGTATAGGTCACAATCTCAAAAAATAAGGTAAAGGAAATGAATTGTATTATTTGTCTTGTATCAAACTCTGTTGGGAACAATTATATTTTGTTTCCTTGTGCAACATGGCTATTGGGAAATCAAATGTGCGACTATTCATTAGTTCAGGATTTTCTTGGGAGTTCTTGTCTGTTGATTTGCAGCAGAGTTCAAACATTCCATAACCATGCCAATTTGGAAGTGCTAATGAATCACATGTATTTATGCATAGGGACAAATTGCAACGAGAGGACGTGTATGTCCCAAGCAATGGTGTAATTCAACTGATCAGCATGTATGCATTGGGCAGTGTCTTAAAAGGAAATGCTGCATGTCTAACATTCATTAGCCTTTGAACTCCATTTGATGAAGTCCTTCAATAAACATTGTACACTCTCAGGAACCTATGCATAGTGAAGTGCCCACTTGACATTTGGCTTTGTTAAAAGTGTTGTGTGGTCATGATGGATGTCACGATTTTTGGAGACTTCATCAGGGACTTTATCCTTGGTCAACTGGCTTCCATTATCAAGCACTCAGGTGACTTAAAGCAGGCTCCTTAGAAAGAGACGTTTTCCTTTGACATAAAATGGAAATTTGTAGGGTTTAAAGTTTAATTTTGAAGGGGCTAAAAGCACTCCAAGCTTGTGGTAAATTGACCAGTACCCGGATGCACAAGTCAAACGTCATGCACACAGCCATTTGCCAACAGACAGGGCACCATGGCTAGACACTTGAACATGTATGTCACTAGAATGTTCTCCTTTACAGGACTGTAATTGAGCTTGAGTGTCCTCAATAACGGTTTGTAGAAAACAAAAACAGGAGAAAGTTATTAGTGTGTACTTGACCAGCCCACAATGAGGAACCATGACAATATCCAACTCCGTGGTTTTTTTTCCATATTTATAAACATGCAGATAAATTTTCAAATACTGTTGACTGTGGTTGTTCATTCAGCATTTATTTTACCAGGCACTTGACAATGCTACTTATTTATGTATGTATGTATTTATTTATTGGGCGGGGTGTTGACATTTTTGGGATCCATATAGTCCATTGAACAAGAAAAATCCCCTACCTTTCTCATATGTGACATTCTGCTGTATACACACAGAGAGATACCCATTGCTTTTTGTACATACACCTAAAAAGGATAAATGTCCCACTCTATTACGATGGTCAACCATGTAAACACAGTAGACACAAAAATAAAGTTACTTTACTTGAACTATGAAGTTCATGTACAAATGTATTAAGCTGATTTGCTGTCACTGTGAACCAGAAATCTCTGAAACGCTTTTGCTCCAGACAGAATGCCTGCAACATGAACAATGGCGATTACAGTTTATTTCAGACATTCGGTCAACTTTTCCAACATTTTTAACCCCCTCTTACATTTTTGCATATTTTGTTGGTCTGAAACATAAACCTGTAAAAACCACTTATAATTACATTTCAGACATTCTGTTAACCCATTCTGAAACATAACCCTATAGATCAAGAAATCTTTCATCAGGCCATGTTAAGTGTCAGACATTTCCAGGTGATTGACAGGCAAGTTTCTTGATAGGCTTACATCAAAATGACATTCAAAATGTCTCAAACGTAAGAGGGGATTAATAAATGTCAGAAACGGTGACCAAATGTCTGAAATACAGTCACCACTGTTCACATTGCAAACAGAAGCATGTGAGACATTTCTGTAAGTTCTATAAATTGAGGTGGCTCTCTTATTTAACTTGTGAATTTTTGTTTTTTGTTTTCTGTTGACAGCTTGAGGATGACCTAGTGGCGCAGGCTGGCTACTTCACAACAATGAAGACATTTGCTATGCAACAACAGAACAAGAACTGGCTTCTTCTAGAATTCTCTGCACTAGGGTTTATTGGTAAGCAAGAGGGTCTCGTTTTATTGAACTAACCAGTCTATTCCAAGGTTCTTGATTCTCAAAGAGCCAGTACGTAAAACTCTCAGATTTTCTGACAATTTGGGATATTTCCTCTCCGAAATTACTTTTCCAGAACAATTTGGACACGCTATGGACTTTATGCATACGTATCCTGTAAAGGGTTACAAAGAGAGAGTTGGGGAAGACCTGTTATTGCATGTTCAAACGTATCGCCATCGACGCTCTGAATGTGTAATCTCTCAGAGTGTAGTCATGAGTTCATGAACAATGCTGACAATTTACAATATAGATACAATATAGACCTATTGCAGATAAGCTTGGCTGCAGCTGATGCGGGATATTTCATGAAACAACTCCTTAGAACATGAAGAAGATGTCATTATAAATGCAAAGGCAATTGACGTGCTGCTTTTTTTTGCAGGTAAAATGTTCAAGACCCGTGACTTGAACATGATTGTTGAGTTCTTTCTTATGTTCCACAAGGACAAGCCCATTGACTGGTTACTGGACCATATTCTCTACGTTAAAGTTTGCAACCCAGAAAAGGACCCTGTGAGTACAATGCTGACTTCTCTCCAATTTGGTTGACTTTCCTGTTTCTCTATTTTTTAGTTGTCTTGTCTACTGAATAAACTCTTAAAAACTGATTAAAAAAAGGGATTGGGAGTTAAAAGGCATTTACAGTGTTGTTTGCCCTTGCTTTACAATTTGGAAATGGGGGGGGCAATATGTTTCACCCGTGCACTGCAACATCCTTGTTTTCTATTCAGTTCTTGTAAGCAAAGCAAGACTTTTGTATTTTGCAATGTTCTAAGTATGGACAAAACGGCTTGCTAAATTGTTTTCAAATAGTCTGGTAAAAAAACGAAAATCCTCTTCATTTCTGATTTAAGTTTATTCAGAAAGGAATATGACAGAACACTTGTATCGTGCGCCTCTTACCCCTCGTGACTTGAAAAGTTTTCAAACGTTGAATGCTGTTTTGCTTTTGTTGCTTGTAGACGTCAATTTCCATTTGCTTTAGTGTGATGTATGAACAAGGTGTGCTGTGAGAATAGTTACGGCCAATTTCCCACAAGTAATTGGTTGTAATGTTATTACAACATGTGTGCATACTGAACATTTGGCATGGCATTTGTTTGCCAGTGTGCATATTTGCAGAAGGTCCCTTTGCATGCACACTAGCATAGCCAGCCAATTTGGTTGAGGATATTGGTAAACTTTAACTAAAGATGACTATTTACAGAGTTGGTACCACTTTACTTTAATCAAACATCTATATTTGTTTCACTTGCCAACATCTGTTGTAGCCTTTTTCATGGATTCTCAATTTTTAAAAAAAAATAAATGCTAATTTATGTAAGTGAATGGATTTTTGTAATTTACCAACAAATGTTTAATAAAATCCTTCTGGGGAAGATCTCTTCTCACATAAGTGATCAATTAATCACTGAATATCACAATCTGTATGAAGGGCCCGTCCCAAAAACTGAGACGTGAACCCTTACATGTAGTTTTATTTGTTATTTTGTCTGTCATGCAGAAACACTGTAGTAGAGAGAAGGCAGCTTACCGAATCCGTTACAAACCATCCCAGTTCCAGCATATAGGATTGCACTCGTCTCTCAAGGGAAAAGTACAGAAATTAAAGGTTAGTCAACATGCGTAATCAGATCTTCATATGTAGAGTAAACATGTACAACTGACAATCAGTTGATGTTGCTTTGACAGAAAAGTGAAACATCTCTTGCTGGAACTTCCTTAGAGGTCCATTCTATTCATTTGTGTATATCGGGTGCTGTGCATCCATTAGTGCCGTACACTTATAATAGTTTAGTACATCAAATTAGGTTGTGCCCTTCACCGACGTTTTGCCCTTCGACTGATCCCGTTAGCTCGGTGGTCGAGTGGTAAGACATCTGCACTAGAAAGCAGGAGGTCGTGGGTTCGAGTCCCACCCGAGTGATTTTTCCAGCTTTCACTCGGGAGGTAACACACTGAGTATACAGTGTTTAAACGTCGGTGAAGGGCAAAACCTAATTTGATTTATATCACCCGACGCAAAATTCCATCTTATAATAGTTTAGTACATGTATTTGATTATTCTAACTTGGATTCAGTCGAATATTCAAAACACGCTGGACAAGTTTTACTTGCCATCCAAGCGTCTATGATATGTGTGCTGACCATTCAGCAGGTGCCTTTTGTCTTGTCTTATGTAACCCGATGTTGCATGAGAACAACATTGCAGCTGTTGACCAATCAACAGCTTTGGCCGAATTTCTGCTCTAAATCCCGTCACAACTTCTAAAGGCGGCTCTGATTGGCTGGCACGTGGGGTCTCATAAAATGTACATGCTCGGATATATCAGTTGTGCAATGTGGCGCCATCTGCAAGTTCAAGGAAAGCTGATGGCATTTTACAACTTTTTTTATCGTCATTGTTGCCTCTCAGTGTTCTTCACAAGTGCATGTTAAACATGTAAAGAAATAATGGCCTCCAATACAAAGCCACTATCATGATCATTCCTATGTCTTCTCTTCCCAAGGACAAGGATTTTAAAAAAGGTTTCAAGCGTCAGTTTGCCCACATCAACCCCAACGCTGAGGTTTCCTCCACCATTAACCACTACATGAAGTACACATTACTCAAAGCCTACCAAGGAGAGGATATATTCTGGGGCACCACACCGTCAGCCGGCGACCTCGTAAAGTTCAAATTCGTCCCACCAATTTTAATACAAGAGTAAGTATGACTGCCACATGGAATCTTATGTCTTTGATTTGTAACGCTCTTTCCTTTCTAAGTCAAGTTCACCCTCCCAAATCATTCAAAGTTTTTGAAGTAACTTGAGTCGAGCCCGAGTCCAAATCTTGAGTTGCTGCTTGGGTTGAGTCCGAGTCTCAAGACTTATATTAATATTTTATGCAACATATTCCGGTTGAAAAGTTACTAAGTGAAATATATCCCAACTAGACCCATACCATATTTCTGTACAGTATGTATATCAGTCCAACAGCTGTTCTGTGCATTGTCTTGACACAGATTTCAATTTGTGAGCAGCAACGAACAAAACCCAGGCGACAAGTTGTACAACACAATCGTAGAAGTGCTTCCAAGCTATCAGCGCGAAAAGAAGGAGGGCATTTTAGAAGCTGATGACAGCAAGGATGGCCAGACGAACAGAACAGAAGACGGATACATTCAAGTTGGTAAGGCTTTATGGAGAGATTCCTTGTAAAATTTACTCGCTGTGCTATTTTCCAGTTTTACCCTAAAAAAAAAGAATTTATCTTTAAATATTGCTATTTTTTAGCAATACAAAAGTTGTTAAGTTTTCAATGAGAGATTGAACGAAAAAAATCAGCCCACATTTAGTTACGGAGTAATAAATTTCAATAAATATATATTTTCACAGTTACAACCAATTTCTCCTTTGTTTTTTACTTGTGACCTTGACTTCTGGCAGGCCAATTTGATGAAGGAAAAGCCATTGGGAAAGTAAATTCCAACATCGGTGAAGTGGAGGAGCTGAGACTACGTGTTATGGAGGACCTGAAGAACTGGGTCATCTTATCCAATGTGAGTTCACAATGACTTTTTTTCCTCAAGATTTACAAAATTAAGGTTGCCCCGAAAAGTTTTGGATTAATTGGTGGACCATAGCCATTTGGTTTGGACACGGCTTAGATGCTACTGAACTGGCAGAGTTTGGCAAATTAGGGTAGTTGACTTGACCTAACTAGATGTGGATTTGGTAACCTGGGTTGAAATCTACCAGACAGGGCAATATTTTTGGACACGGCTTAGATGCTACTGAACTGGCAGAGTTTGGGGAATTAGGGTAGTTGACTTGACCTAACCAGATGTGGATTTGGTAACCTGGGTTGAAATCTACCAGACAGGGCAATTTTTTTGGACACGGCTTAGATGCTACTGAACTGGTACCTGGGTTGAAATCTACCATACAGGGTTTGTGTGGGTTTGGGTCATGGACTTCGTTGAACTGGGTTTGCATGGGTTGTCCTGCATAGTCCTGGGTTGTCCTGGGTTGTCCTGGGTTATACTGTGTTGGACTGGCCAGATTTGGGTCATATCATTGACTAGTACATGGACTGTAATGGGTTGATTAGGGATGCAATCTTTATTTCATTCCAGTCTGGATACCTCTATCAAAATTAATGGTGACTATTGAGGTGACTAGTTTTGTGAAGTCCTCTTACTCCCTCCGGTTCAAAATGTGGGGCTCTGAAAATTTCAAACTGTTTTCTCTTAAAGCCCGGTTCATATTCGGTGCGAAAGCGAAAGCGAACGCGAATTTGTGACTTGCAAGTATTCGCGCTGTGAATTCGTAAAAGTTGAACATATTTCAACTCGAAAAAAGAAAAAACATGAAAGAAGTAAGACTGCTGCAAACTGCTTACTGACTGGGTGGACACCAGTATTTCCTGCCATAGTTTGCTCAGTCATCTCAAACTTCAGCTGAATTGTTTTAAAGATGTTTTCTGTATGTGAAGCACTCATTCAAAATGTGTGTTTGAAAATGCTGTGATGTTTTTTTCACGACACAAGGTTTCCAAAAAATACTTGTGAAACCTCGGACGAATTTCGCAGTGAATGCTTTGTGACGTCAAATTGGCTTCGCATTCACATTCGCGTGAAGTATGAACCGGGCTTTATACTGTAGAAAACTGATGAGTTGACATTCTCACTTGCGTGAAATAGTAAAGACCAGTAAATGCTAAAAATAACAAGGGAGTCTTGTGTTTTGTTGTTGACAGATTCACATTGTGCCTGTAGTGAAGAAGTGACCGTAGTGGCCTTACAGACACCGGATGATCGTCCAGTCTCCTCCCCAGCGGCTAAAACTCCACACCAGTATTTCCTGCCATAGTTTGCTCAGTCATCTCAAACTTCAGCTGAATTGTTTTAAAGATGTTTTCTGTATGTGAAGCACTCATTCAAAATGTGTGTTTGAAAATGCTGTGATGTTTTTTTCACGACACAAGGTTTCCAAAAAATACTTGTGAAATACAGTTTCATGTTGGAGTTTGCTAATACGCAGCTTGCTTTTGGACATAAAATATGGTAAATTGTGGCCAGTCATCTTAGCAGTCAACCAGCCTACAAGCGCTAACTGAAAGTAAATTCACGGAGCAAATTTTCATTCCATCTTCGAGTCCATCACAGGTCCGGTCACAACTAAATATCAAGTCCTTTCACAAGTAACAGGGGAAGACAGTTCATATGAATAGCTTGTGACTTGACTTGAGATGGGATAACTCATGACAGACTTGTGTGGATTTGTGATGGACTTGACTGCACCACTTGGTTGCAGCATTGGAGTAATGGCCGCCCTTACCTCATTTTGTGTAATTGTTATTTTTCCTGAACTTCCTGAACTTTGACGGCTTGGTTGAATAGTCTTGTGATGCATCCTGATAACTGCTTTTAGCCCATGGGCTGTTTGACTTGAATGTTGTGCTATTATTTGAATGCATCGAGGTTTGTGTACATTGCGCATTGAATGACGGTCAACGCATATTTGCACCTTTTTTTTCCCAGGTCATCCAGAGACTTTCTCAAAGAAGGCTTGCCCATTCCCTCTCCCCACCCCCCTTCTTGCTCACTCCCCTCCCCTTCTCCCCCTTGTCCCCTAAAAAAATAAATAATTACTTCTATAGATTCTGGACAATCCAGAAGCCTGTTGTAGAAAACTGTAATTGATGTACAGTCGACTCTCGTTAGTACAAACTCTGTTAATACAAAATTCTGGTTATAACAAACATAAAGCCATGGTCCCGACTGTGCATTTACATGTATGTGCACAATGAATGGGACTGATGTTCCTCTTAATACAAAATTCTGATATAACAAACAATTTGGCTAGGTCCGAACGAGTTTGTTATAATGAGACTCGACTGTACAGTGATCTGTAAACTTTGTACCATAATCTATGCAACGTGATGTACTGTACTGATTCATGTTTCTTTGTAACTGATTTTAAATTTTTAACCACCCCCCCTTTTTTTGTGTGCATTCTCATTAGATTTTCTTGTCGCTTTTGATTTTTTCCTCTTAACATTGCTCTTGGGATCATGTCCCCCATTTTGGACCTTGTATTGTGACACAACAGCATCGATGTATTAATGGTCCATAATCATGTTCAACCGAATATCAATGTATTGTTGTAAATGGGAATTAAGTCACTGGCACAAGACAGATCAAAGTTATATTGTCCCATGTTGTACCGTGATATTATGAGAAATTTCTTCAGCTGAAAACGGTTCACATGTAATTTCAAACTTTCAAAGAAGAGGTGTTTTACGAGCATCTTTACGAGATAAACCCAATATGACTGAGATAGCCTCACTTTTGTGGACCTCCCCATCTGTGGATAGCACTGTTTTAAATATTCACCGACTATATTTCATAAACTAATCTTTTTAACTGCATAAAGAAGAGTGTTTGTAAATTTTCAGATATTCACCTTCTGAAACTTTTAACTTATTTGCGTCATACCTCTGTAAATACAATAAATGGAATTTTAAATTAATTTTACCAACACAAGTATTTCTATGAAACATTTTACAATGTACATGTATAGGATATTGATTTGTGCTATTGATTTTAGTCTTTCGTGCCAAGTAGAAAATAGTAAATTGTGATTATTTAATTTTTTTCTGTTGATTGTGTGATAGATTGAAAACACCACAAACCACCTTTGCTTCATTTAATGAAAAATTAAGCAGGACTTAAGTTTTGTTGCAATTTTTTATCACTTGCATTTGTGAAAATACCATTGCGCCAACTTGAAAATCAAGAAATAGGAATTTTTTAAGAATTATGATTTGAATTTTTAAGTGTGCTTTGTAATTGAAATCAGTATGCCCTCTGTTGATGGTTACATTTTGCAATTGTATGGGAAATCAAAATATTTATTGGACAAGAAATTATTCGTCAATGTTTTTTATTGAATGTGCTGTTTGTGTGCTATTATTATGATTTATTGTATGAATTGATGATATACAATCGTAATGAATAATTGTTATTTTTTCTCCTTTTTTAAAATCTATTCTGTCATAAATTTTAAAAAGGGTATGTAAAGTATAGTTGCAATTAATAGTTGATATTACAAAATACAAAAAACATGTAGGCTGTGTACAGTGTAAATCACATACACTGTTTAAGTGTCGATGGTGCTATGTCATACGTGTGTACTGATTTTTGTTGCTTTGATTACAAATTAATTCTCAAACTTTTAAACATTTTATCTAGTTCATTTTTTTTTTCAGTTTTACTTCGTAGTATGTGTTTATATGTGGCCCAAATGTCATGAACAGCATTAATGTCAGCAATATAATAGGTCTTGTTGTTGTCTTATGTAAGTCAAGGGCAGATCCGGGGGAAGGGGGGTTGCAAAGGGGGCCAAAAAAAATTGGTTAAAGTGGTCAGAAATTGCCTCAGATTGCATCGCAAGGCACATGGAATCCAAATTTTGGGAGGCCCTTAAGCTTAAAGGGAATATACAACATTTGCAAACATTGGAAAACAAAACTACCAAATTTTTATGAAATACCTTACTAGGATGTTGGTAAATGAAAGTCTAAAGCATCCTGTAAAATTATAGCACCTGGTGTGAAGTAATTTTCAAGAAAAGTGGTATTTTGTTATAAATATAAACGGTGGCCGGCCGACCACCGTTGGAAAAACCTAACTATTTTTCAACTACTGCTCCAAATTTACCATTTTTTTTTCAGTCCAAATTTTGTTTGCTATTGGTTACATGCTCATGAACGGGTGCAGGCCAGCTAGATTGGTTTCCTTACCTTACAATTTTTCGGCATCTATAAATTGATTAATTTCATTTTAGTGGAGTCAGGGAACCAGACTACTTGATTTTTTTTTCTTGGTTTTTCCAGCATTTTCAAACACAATCCTTCAAACTTGTCAGTGTAACAATATTTGATCTATCATACTAACCCCTCAAATAGTTCATTTCTGAAATGTAAAGCAAAAGCCAATGATATACATTCCCTTTAAGGGGACCCGAACCCCCACGCCATAATATTTTTGACCCCCTTTTTGGGGGACCAAATTCCCCCCCCCCCCAAAAAAAAATTTGTTCTGGATCCGCCCTTGATGTAAGTGAAGGTGTGCTGTCTTTATACATGTTTCTGGTAAACGAAATTGGGAATCTACTAATGTGTAAAAAAAAAAACAGCACGCAATTTTCTAGACCTTAACACCGGATAGAATAACCAGTTTTTATTGCAGTCGATCTAGGCATGCTTGTGGTATCTCCTGTTTATAAAAATATGCTACTGTCAAGGCATGCTTTACTGTTTGTAAAGAAATAATTGAAATATAAGGAAGGAACTATTTTTCAGAATAAAAAGTTCTTCAAACGTTATTGGAAGTGTGATTAGTGTCTATTTTCCTTGAAAAATGTGTATTTTAATTTTCTCATGCACTAACCCAAATGATCCCAGTCTTAGCCCGCCAACATTTCCATTGACAAACTCCAACATATGATCTAATGCTGGGTGATATTTTGTCATTAATATCAGCCATACAATGAAGGTTTCGTGAATAACGTAGGGAAACATTAGTGAGCAGGAAAGAGCAGATAATATTAAGTCAACTGCATCTTGCCAAATATGGCTAATTTATTTTATAATCAAAACAAGAGACGACACCCACTTGGCATCATTTAGCCATCTGTACGTATGAAACTGCAGTGTTTATTCCTTCAAAGTATATATTTTTTGCCGACCAACCAACATTCGGACCAAACTGTGGACCTCAGTGTTAAGCAATTGTCTTACATTGGAGACTTGTTCTTTTTGTCCTCATCATAAAAGATAGCAAATTTAATGTACATCTTTTATTTAGTGTAAAAAATACCCCAGAAAATATTGCCCTTTTTTTCTCCGAGATACTAATGACCAATCACAAGGCTCCCCACGTCATGCATAATTCATATTAGTCAGGGCGCCTTGTGATTGGCCATTGGAAAATCGCCCACGTCAAACGAAAGATGGCTACCGTGCACGTGCGGTGTCTTCGATAGAAGTGAAGAGCGGTGAGTTTGTTTTTTTTTTTTAATATTCGGGTTTTTGCCAGAGTTTTGCCAATTTTCTTGTATCACATGGTCCCTTAATGTGTCAAGAATCCTCGGGGACCTTGTGAGTTGAAATTCTTGCTGTAATTCAAGCGTTTGGCAGCTTGAAATCGTGGACTGTTGTCTTTACGTCAATAGACAATACGTACATGTACGTGGTGGCGTGGCCTTAATTATTCCGCAGTGGCTATCGTTACGGCAGCCGTAACGCATTTCCCATTTTCTATCGTTACGGTAGTAGTACTGCAACTTTTATAAAAACATGAGAAGAAAATATAAAATTAGAAGGAAAAAAGTGAATTTGAACGTTATGAAATTCGGACTTTAGGCCTATTTCCCTTTAAAAAAAAAATCGGTAATCCTTACTTTTAGGACAATGTAGGACACCTCTTCTTTTTACGAGTTCTGTTCAAAACTGACTTTTGCAGATGACTGTCCAGTACCAAAGCGACTTTTGCAGGCTAAAGCAGTCTTTTTTTCTTCATATTTATAAACTCATGTTAGGCCTAGTTGTAATTTTGAAAGCACTTTCAATGAAAAAGTGACTTTCCTACCTTTTTTCGCAGTCAGACGTCATGTTGTACTTTCTCACAACACAAGTGAAAGCCTTACATAATGAAAGCCCGATGCTGATTGGCTGCTAAAAAAAAAAAAATAAGATGTTTATTTTTATCAGCCAATCAGCATCGAGCTTTCATCGCATCAAGCTTTCACGTTTGCCATCTTGGTTTTTGAGTCTGTTTTCTGGTTGTCATCGTCGCCCTTTACCCCCGAATTTCCCTCATAAATCAAAGCTCTGCCCTCTTTCCACAAAATTAAACCTGCTGATATTCAAGTAGGTGTCATTGCCTATTGTTCAGATGTGCCAAGAAATATCAGAATGTCAATTTTGAGTGTCATTTAGTCAACTGTTTTGGTAAGTCTTTCCCTTCCTATATATAGGAACATGGTCCTAAAACTTAGTAAAAGTAAGGATTACCAAATTAAAAACCTGCCCTCTTTCCATGACATTCATGTTGGTTTTCAACATAGGTCATAGCTATTTTATTTAGGAGTCTTAGAAGTGGATTTTTGTTCTACGATACAGCAGATAGCCAAACTTGTGACCAAAATTACACTATAAAAATTCCGAACTTGTTGGGGTTGGGGGTGCATGCACAACAGAGCAACCTCTCCTCCCTAGCTCTATCCCCATCAAAAAGATTGGGTTTTTTTCCCCTTTTATTTTCATTTGATTAACCCTAACCCCCTAGGCCCTTGTTGCTTACAACCATCCTCAATCCTCCAAAATCCTCCAAAATTTTTCAACTCCGCCTAATTTTTTCAAAATTGTCAGACAGTCCTGCCTCAAAATGCATTCATCCTCAATCCTCCAAAATCCTCCTCATCCCAAAACTTTGCACTCGTGTTTAAATGAAGGATAACCAACGCCAAATCCTTCAAAATCATCAGACAGTCCTGCCTCAAAACGTATTCATCCTCAATCCTCCAAAATCCTCTTGTGCTTCATTCACCATTCATCCTCAATCCTCCAAAATCCTCATGTGCTTCAATCACCATTCATCCTCAATCCTCCAGAATCCTCATTTGATTCAATCACCATTCATCCTCAATCCTCTAGAATCCTCCA